CCATGCATTTTAACCTTTTCTTTTATTACCATCATCAACTGATGGTAGATGCTGATCATAAATTTCGTTTATCACTTATTTCTACGACTTTTGCCATCGATAAGTTTTCAAGGCGTTCTTAGGGAACTTTCTGGGTTTTGGAGACCAGAATGTTCAGGGTTATCGATTGTGGAACGTTTTTGCCGCACAGCGGAGAATATTACGCCGGGTTGTTGTTTACATCTGAAAGAAATTTGTTCTGGTGCTTTTCGCATTTTGGACCAGGCATGGGGTTCGACCACAGCTTGCTTATTACTTTGGAAGAATTTCACCTTGAAGAAGGGGTCTGTAAGAGCTTTTTCAGGAAAAAAAAAAATGTAAATCGTTTTATTGCACATTTAAGTTTCAATGAAGGACGGCAAGGGTATTGTCTCATTTAATTTTTTTTTGCTCTTTATTGCTTTGTTCAATAGTTTACTGTTCTGATCGAAGTCCTTAAGCCTCTCGTTTTGTTCCTTATTTGATGGGAATTGTTTTCGACGAGAACCTGATTTCGTCTCTGAAGGTGCGTATAAAATGTGTATCAACTACGTCAAGATCATGTCCAAAGCTTACGTGTGTGCGATTATTTAACAGAGGCATATATATATATATCGTTGGTTGGTTAAGTGTCTTTAGCTTTGCATTATAAAGGAACTGTAACATACCTTAAGTGGAACTTAACTTGGAAACAGAATGTGATAGCTATGACAGTGAGAACTACCAGGGTGTTAAATATTAAAATATTCTAATTTTTTTTTTTTCCGAGTTACATAAATTTTACATTTATCATGAATTTTTTTTACGCTCGTGATTCATGCTCAACCTGTTTGAAATTAACCTGTTTGAGAAAATAATACAAGCATGACTTAAAATGGAAGAAAACTACATTTTGTGTTACAAAAAGAAAAGAGATAAATTGGTGAAAAAATATTCTTACTGGTCTTATATTGGGAGAGTAAAATGCGTTGTTTTGTTCCATGGTAACAGTTTATTAAAAATATATTTTCAAATTGTTTGGTTTTAGAGAGATTTTTAGTTTTTTCAACGAATGAAATGTATGATTTACGTGGGTGTCGAATTTGTTCTCAACTCATAGCAATTCCTTCTGGGGCTTTGTGGTTTCCAGAATCTTTGCATAATTACCTTTTTATACAACAATGTATCATAGGTCATGAAGGTTGTGTATTCATTGATCAAATAACCTTTCTTTTGCTCTATGTTAACAGAAAGGTTATACAGTAGTCAAGTGTAGTGTACTCACTACAATCATATCCTTTGTGATCAGTTATTTGGCCACAAAGGAAAGTAAATTTTACAATGTGAGCAGTAATAAGATGCATTTTAAAAAAGTAACACTGTGTTATGCAATACACTACAAAACAGCTTATAATCCAGATCAGTGTGTATTGCCATCAAGGTATAAACCTCTGAAATGGTCGGTTCCACCATCACATATTTTTTTTAATTTTTCCTACCAAGCTATCTCCCATATAAGATGTTGTGTTGTCAGTGAATAATCTATATTCATCATCTTGAGTCATGTCTGTAAAACATAGCTTATTAACCAACTCTACATCTTTATTCTTAAAATATTGTGTCAATTCTTTTATACAGAGTAGATTCCAGTGGGGCTCTTCCTTCATGGTGAATCATCCCTCCCTCTGTGGTTTTGTAATAAAGATAAAGATGAGCATGGCTTCCATTACATCCTAATGCAAGGTACATGCACAATACATGCATTGGCTGTCCCATGGACATGGTGCTGTTGGGTTACCAGGTTATAGGTAAGTTAACCATTAGACCCTGTAACATCAATATCCATATTACCATACCCTTTCTATACATTTTCTTTTGATAATAAGAATTTGTTTAACCATCAAATCTTCCTGGGTTGTAATCATTTCCTTAATTGTCATAGTATACCATAATTAAAATACTCTGTGGGATTAAAAATACTTTTGTGCTACGAAATCTTCTAGTGACATTCTGCAAACTTGGAATCTGGATAATTTTATAGTGTATAGTTTTGTGTACATCTTTTTGCGGTTGTTTTGTTGATATTTACTTTCATTCATATTTGTATCTTGTTCTTGTAATTTGTATAATTTACCTTGGAATCAGGTTATTGAAACATTAAGTCTTCAAAGGTAAAACATTGTCTCCTACTCAACAATGCTCATGAAGTTAACCCTTTAACTCCCATGGAGTGACCTAGACAGAATTCTCCTTACAATATCAATACAATGTCAAGCAGGTAAGTGATGAGAGTAAAGAAAAACTACCAATCTGGGGATAACTAGTTGATCCAATACTAAATTCTCTGAAGCAACATTATAAGAATCGTATGACTGTCAGTAAAGAGAATTATAAATCTGATCTGGGAGTTAAAGGGTTAAAGAATGATTTAGTAGTATTATTGTATGGAGAAATTAGATGCTGGTCATTCTTAAGGGGCTGTGAGGGTAGATTTTCTTTCTTAAAAAGCTCTCTACAACAACCTGATTCATGCCCAGGGCCTGTAATTACCCTTTCACCCCAGGGTCTTTTAAGTGATTCTCCATACTTTCTGCCATGCAATTTGGTTTTAATTCCAAAATTTATCTTTTTTGTGATTCTCATGACACTTGCCTGCTTAATATGGTATTGATATTGTATGGAGATGTTCTTCTGGTGGTCACCTTGGGAGTTAAACGGTTGAAGCCGAGTTTTTCAACCAAAAGTTTTGTCCACCAATCATGAAGTGACTATGTTCCTACTCTTCATTAACAACAGCATAGTTAGGATAAACAATGACTTTCTGCTGTAGTCTCTATGAATCTCACCACAAGAAGTTCTTTTTAATTTGGCAAGCCCTGCATGTGCATAGTGCCGATATATTACAAGATGTAGTGGTTTTGGGAAGTGCACCATATTCTAGGTCAAATGATCTGAGTGTGAGCCTTGTCATTTTATTTTATAATGTTGTTGAACACAACTCTACCTTCACAGTTCCTGTCTGTCTATATGATGGTGAGTTGGAACAGGGAAACTGTAAGGGAAGCCTCAAAAAGGGTGGGGAGGAGAGGGGTTATCTGTAATAGACAAACATACAGTAGTATTCTATGGATGACTGGTCCTAATCTGGTCAGCAAGAATTACTCATAACAGTTATGTTGGTGTCATACCACATTTTCAGTTGTTAGCTGTTAAGAATAGAGATCTAGGATGAGAAAACAATTTAGGGCAACAGATTGAACATAGAAATAATAATTATTATTTTTTCTTACTATTCTTTTCCATGGCTTGCTTTTGTTTTTTTCAGTATTGGTGCTGTTCTGGATCATATGTGCAGACATTCTCTCATCTCCTGGTCTGTCCACTGCAGATGACTTGAAAACACTGCCTCAGGATTATGAAGACTTTTACTAGGAACTTCAAAAAGCTTATTTCACATGCTCAGAATGTTGATAGTTAGTACTTTGGTATTGGTGGGACACTATTGTAAATTGTATAGATTAAAATTCTATCCTAGACTAGCTCAGCTCCTAACAAATTAAGCTACATTTGACATAGGAAAAATTAACAGCAAGCTTTCAATCCTTGTGAAAGTAAACAACTTGATAAGTGCTATTTGAATACTGCCCTTGTAAATGTTAAATTAGAAGGAAAGATGTGTCATCATTAAGTTAAGTAATTATAAATTTCTAATCAGAAATGCATATGTTAGAATTTCTGCTTATATTACATTGTGTGATTGTACTTCACTCATCCAGCTCCTTCTATCCTCATGTTTATTCTAACGGTAGCCTGGAGGAAATTTTCCTTTATGGGCAACTGGAATATTTTATGACAACACATCAAGGGAAATAAGCATCTGCAATAAATAACTTATTACCATCCTAATTTTTCATGAGAGTCTAGAGTTGTCAAGGTTTGACTACTTACAAACCCAGAACATTACTATATGGCTGCAACATTCTTCAGTTCCCAATGGCGTTTACCAAATTATATCAATAAATTTCTTTAATAAATCAACTGGATTCATTTTACACATGTAAGTTAAGTGATATTTTTTTCCTTGTCATGCCTTGTAGACTTCACAATAAGGGAAATACTTACAGATCCTGAAGAAGCTCAGCAGTTTATGCAGAACATGTCTATTGCACCAGCAATGGCAGAAGGGTTACTAAACACAACAGTTAATTCAAGAGAGGTGGGTTCTTTATTAATGAATTTTTTAGATGTTTACATGCATTGCACTACTGGTAGAGGTGGTGGCTGTGTCGTTGGTAGTCATTGGACTCTAGGGTCTAGACCTGGCCAGGTTATTTTGTTGTGTTCTTGGCAAGCAAGACACTCTGCTTTCACAGTGCCTCTGCCTATCTGCTTCTGTTTAAATGGCTAATTGGCATTCCATCCAGGTGGGAGTAGAACTACTCCTCATCACTTCATGCTATAAAAACTGGGATAAGTTTCTAGCTACATCAGGGCCACTTGGCTTGAGTGCGGTATTTAAATATTTGTTACCATTTATTTCCCATGCACCCACGGTGTCGATAGTGCATGTCAGTTTTGCACCACTTAGGACTCATTGCTCACTAGTCCTCTCCTTGTAACAGCTCACCCTCACCTGGAGTAAAATTTTTTTAACTGTTTTTCTCCCAAGATCTCAGTTACTCTTAGTAATTCTCTTTACTGTCTTCCAACTAATTATTGTGATGCTAGTTCAGAGAATTTGGTATTGTATTATTTATTAAAACCTTCAACCGATATTTCTCTTTGTATTCATCACTTGTTTGCTCAATATTGTATGGATATTGTAAGGAGTAATTTTGTCTTGGTCACTTGTGGGAGTTCGAGGGTTAACCCTCTCACTCCCATGAGTGACCAAGCTAGAATTTCTCCTTGAGTGGGTGAGTTACTCGTGAATCACTCTTTCAGTCCTCAATTTCACCCAAGTCTTACATTGCAGTTGTGTGAATTATTTATCATGTGCACTTTTGACTTTACAGCTTGCAAAATTTATCAGTACTCATAAAAAGGAGCTCTTCAAGCAGTCACTTCGACTTAAAAACAATTCAGAGCACATTAACAATGGGTTTTTACCACTCAACCCTGCTTCTGGACCAAGCCTTATTGGTCTCCTTCTGTCTGGTACTATGAGCAAACTTATGAATCCTTTTACCATGCCATTTGCTCCACCACATTCAGCTGTAAGTAACTTTTTTATCAATCAATCAGTCAATCAGTTGAAAACAATCTAATCATCTTTTAGCTGAGCAGCTAATCTATCTTTCTATTAATGTTAAGTATTCAGCCAATCATAGGAATTCAATAGATTGAGATCTGTTGGTCAATTGATGAGTTTGCTAGTTGGTCAGTTAAAGGTAATTCAGTGTGGGTGAGTCAGAATTTCAGTCAGTTGTTGGGTCAATGAGTCAGTTTAAGTGGGTGAGTTACTCAGCTACTTAGCATGTTTACTTGCATATCTGATGTTGTCTTTTTTTTTCTCTCTCTTTTAGTCTTCTGACACTCCTAATCTGCCATTGAATGCTTCTTCATGTAATACTACAGAGCTAGAGAAGGTTTTGGTACTCAAGACTTCCAATCAAAAGGTACATGTGCTTAGTGGCTTTGTAAAATTGATGCCAACCAGTTCCTTTTCTGCACTAGAAGTGAAGAAAGACATAATGATGAATATGACATATAGCATTATTAAGAGGAATTTTTACCTTGAGGTTCAGTGGTCTTCAGTGGTCTGGGTTATGTGGGTGTAAAAAGTAGATGTGAACAGCTTTTCAAAATATTTTTTAATCAGAGAGGATTACAAGCAACTCAGGTCCCTCTTTCCCCCTTTTAGCTCATAGGGAGTAGGATGTGTGGAAAGAGGTTTTTAAAAGGAAAGTGGGGTGAAATAATCTCTATACGTGACAAGCAAGCATAGCTCACAAGATGAATCATGTTGTAGTTTAAGTAACCTTGGCTGATACAACTTACATGTGGCTGTTTGTAGGAAGCACTTGAACAGTTATGCCACCTAACACCGTCACAGGCTCAGCTTCTAGCTGGCTATCTTCAGCACCATGTGGACCGTACAGCTGCCATGCAGAAGGTGGGCTTTGCTTTTAGTGGTGTATTAATTCTCACTCACTTGCCACCCATTATAGTGGGTGGCACAAGAAGAGGGGGATTGAGGCTCCTACAGCCCTGCTTGTCTGACTGTGTAGCCAGCCTTTGTTTGGATTAATGAGGTTGTGGGAAGAGGGTATTTATGGGCTTTCAATTTGTGTGGTTTATAGTAAACTGATAAAAAAAATTATCCTTTCATATGGTGCTTACTTGGTTTAATTTCTGGCCTTTTGACCTATTATTATTGTTATTATTATTATGATTATCATCATCATCATGGTCATCTCCATCATTATTATCATTACTAACAACATCATTATTATAACATTGTTGTTATTATTATTATTGTCATATTATAATTAAATAAATAATTTACATCAACAAGTTGAATTAATTGCTCATTTAGTCAATTAAATGAAACTTAAATGATGAACAGTGAAATCAATCATCTACAACTTATACCAGAGTAATTATAATGTGAATGTAAATGGTTTTCCTTTTAGCTGAACGTAACCCGTGAAGACTTGAAGGATTACAACAAATCATACACAAAACTGCGAGGAGATGTAAGGTTTTTCTTTATAGTTATGTTACTTTACCTGAAGAAGTACTTAAAACACTATAAGTTTGAAAAGAGTTACTTTTTAAACACGTTAATTCTTTTATGACTGCGAATATATGAAAATCATATACAACCGCGGTTTAAGAAATGAATGTGAATTAATGAACACTACTTATTTAATAAGCAGTAGTAAATTTTTTTTAGGCGTTATTTTCACCACTGCTTAAGTATTGTTCATTACCGTGGAGATCGCTTTTATAGTCAGTAATTTATTCTGTGGCCTGAAGTTTTAAGTCGTTGGTTGGGGTGTTCCTTGGGCGGTTAGGGTGGTCCTTAGGGTGTTCCTTGAAGTTAGAGCCAATTCTTTGTCTTTGCTTGATAGATCAGAAAGATGTCAGAGAATATCACACTTGGAATGATTTTTGAGAGCAAATGGATTGAGACATTGTGTTAGATTTTTCCCTTGGTAGCATTTCTCTTAGTTATTTTTTGTACGAGTTACACCCCTCTGTGCAAAACCCAAAACTTTGCAGAGCTTTACTTATTTGCAGAGCTCGTTATTCAGCACTTAAGTTGTCCTGCATGGGAACATTTTATTCTTTATCACTGTGTGTTCAACTTTCAGCTGAAGAATTTGACCGAGTTTGTGCACCTGGTACAAGAGGGAGTGGAGCTTGCGCAGTTGTTGCGTGTCAATCTCTCCTTCACAAATCACCTCCAAAACAAGACCAAGTGGGAGAGAAACAAAATTTACCTTCGTGAGATGTGGAAGAATCTCGGCCCAATCATTTGCGGCCCAGACCCGGATGCACAACCCAAAAAGAAAGTGATAGATCACATGTATGATTACCGCTGCCGCACCAAGGCTTGCAAAACCCGAGCCATGCGTCTTATGCTGTACCTCTTACTTCACAATCCGAAAATAGCCTACTCCCCCAATGGTACAGCTGCTGATGAAATCATCAAAAAGGTGACTTGACTCAATATAAGCCTTTTGCTGTTTAGCCTGCGCGCAAGCTCTCGTAAGCTCTGCTCGTGAGGATACTCATAACCCTGTAACCCATAAGAGTGACAAGCATCTCTTAGTTTCTCTGAGTAGGATCATCCCTGATTCAAACATTAAGGCCATGAGGAAAAAAGGTTATGATTGCAAGTTCAAGAAACTCTTGATTGTTAGGCAAATTCTCCTTGTAAGAATCATAGGAATGGATAAAGAACAGTATGCTAATGTTTGGGTGGAAAGGGTTAAAGCAACGCGTATGAGGGCTTGCTCGCAGACTATTTGTTGTTTTGCACGGTAAGTTAGGTAACGCAGGATTTTTCAGGCGCTATCGTTTGAGGGAGGCGATACCCTAATGATCGGCGCGTTGCTCCGGATTGAAAGATCCAGCGTCCAGCTCGAGGTTAATGACTGAGGGATGTTATTTGTCGCATTTTTCTTGGATAATCCACTAAACTCTCGCTGGCAGTTCCTCTGTTTACCCACGCTATTGTTGTTGGAAAGGTGAATAACGTTATTCAGTGGATAAATCGTTATCTGGTGGATGGCGCAGTATGTTTTGTTCACATTTATCCACTGAATAGCGATTTGCTCGTTGGATAGCGCAATCCACCCTTTGAATAACTGGGCCTTGGAGTAGAACTGAATGGATACTAGCGATCTGCCTGGGAAAACTGAAGAATGAGGAAGGAGAGGTTGAACAATGGACTTCCAGGACACAAACAGCATGGAAACTACATGTAATTCCAAGCCAAGGGGCAAAATTGAATCCGTAGCGTTTGGTTGAATAGATATAGACATCTATGTCTTAACGTCCACACTTTTCGAAATCAATTGAATTTTCCTTTTTTTTTTTCTTTTGATAAAATGGATGTGGGCTTTCTGTACGAGACGTATGTGAATTTCACTTGGAAAAAAATGTGTTTTAGCCGAGGTTATTATTTATTTGATCAAGGAACTTGTTATAAAAGCACATCATACTTCTTGAAATCTTATGGAAGTGTTTTTTTTGGTTTTGTAACCTTCACAGGCAAACAGAACATTTTCAGACATTGAAAAACTGATACATCTCGCCGAGGAATGGTTGAACACTTCAAAGAAGATCCGTGGCGTGTTACGGCAAAATGACTCACAGTACTACCTTGGACTTCTGCTCAACAATAAACATAAATGTCTGCATCGATATAACAACGAGGCTTACAACCTAACTGGGCACAAACCTAGCGAAAACTTCAGGTGATTAAAGAGGCCTTCCAAAAATTGTATCGCAATGAATGATATTCATAGCACTACTAACACTAGAAAAACTCGGTTCTGCCCTTTTCCGTTATCATAAACGTCGTTCTAAATCTCTTTTTATTCTCACTTGTATCTGACTTTTCAGACAATACGAAGGACTTGATGAACTCCTAACCCGCAGTTGCGATAACACTAACCCATTAATTACCCAACTGGACATGATTGATAGTGTGGCTCGCTTGTGGTTGGAAATGGCTTCACATCTCAACCTAAATATCTTCAAAGGTTTTAAAGATGAGAGATCTCTGCTGAATTTTGCCCTAAATATCAACGGCTCTAAGAATGGAGACACTTCTAAAGTCGTTGCAGGTTAGTAGGCCCACCCGTTTTTATTTTAAAGACTAACTTAAAATACTATAAGAAAAAATGGAGCCTATTTCGATTCTGATAATTTGTCTTGTCTTGGCCTTAAACCTTTTGGCGCCTAGCATCTAATTTCTTCTTGCAATTTCACACCCGAATGGCAAACTAACGTTAACAAGAATAGAGGAAATGATCACCAACTAAAGAGGATCTTGATTTTTCAACAAATTCTCCTTGTTAGCACTTGGGGAAATACATAGAGAACTGTAGGGAGAATGTGCATACTGATGTTATGATATGAAGGGTTAAGCACTTGCACAGTTAGATAGGAAGTTTTAAACCATCTTACCTCTTCCAGGAATCGTGTTCATGAACATAAAGGTGAATGTCAGCCTGCCTCCTCACGTTAAATATAAGATTCGGATGAATGCTTCCTATTTTACGCCCGCGACCGACAGCATCCGTGATCGCTACTGGATGCCGGGGCCCCAGAGTTGGAATCAGCGTTACTATGACTTAGGATTTACCTGGCTTCAGGACCAGATTGAGAGGGCTATTGTTGATCTGCATGCTGGGCGAGAAGTCATCAAACCAGCTGTCTACCTCCACGAGATGCCGTATCCGTGCTATGTGAAAGACAAGTAAGAATTTAACTTGTCACGAGCGTGAGGACAAAGAAATTATTCTGAGTCTCCATAAGGTATTGGGCTAAACTCGCGCGAGGCTTTCGACTTCGCTGATCCTAGCAGTATGCGATTAGCGTGTCACATACGATCCTTAAAGTTTGCAGGCTCAGTGGTAGAGCGACCTAGCGCGGAATTCGAAGGTCTGAGGTTCGATTCCTTATGGGTACTCAGAACTTTTTCTTTCTCCCACACTCGTGACAAGACAAAGAAAAAAAATTGTCTTCTTTTCACAACCAAGCTCACAATTCACCATCTTTCGTACAGAATTTAGATGCCGTTACAGTTGTGTTTGCAATAGAACTGACATAGAAAAAATGAAAAAGTGTGTCCCACAGTTGTTTAAGATTTCTCTTAAATTACCAATCATAACAAACTCTCTATCAAATTTTGTTGTTTTCTTTTTCTTCTCCAGTTTTATGTTCATCATCGAGCACATGATGCCTCTGTGCATGACAGTGTCGTGGATTTACACCGTAGCTCTGGCTGTACAAGCCATTGTGTACGAAAAAGAACAGCGCCTGAAGGAAGTCATGAAGATGATGGGTCTGTCTAATGCTGTGCACTGGGTGGCGTGGTTTATCACCTCACTCTGTGTCATGTCCATTACTGTGGGCCTTCTGGTTATAATCCTTAAGGTAAGTGGCTTTACATACCGTCCTTTTAGATTTTCCCTTTGCATGGAGCACTGATTTCCAGATTTTACAGGAAAACACAATCGTAGCTTGGGAACTTGCGTTGTTCCGCGCACAAATTAGTTTACAGTTTACTTGTTTCGATTCTTGGTTGTCATTAGCTAATTTCGATTTACTCTTTTGTTCTTATTGGTCGTCGTAATTACTGTTGTTTTAGTTTGACGATACTTTATCGAAATTTTCTCTATAATGTAGCTGTCGGCTTTGACCTGATGATCTGAAGAGTGGCTTCTCTTATTACATGCCTCGTAGTAATGGTTGGGGGGGGGGGGGAAGGGTGGGGGCTGGATGAAAGGAAGGAGGAGAACGAACACGCTTGCACCAAATCCAGTGGAAGAAAAAACTGATTACAAGATTGCTTGAAAGCAGTATAAAACGTTTCCTCGAAAAGTCTCCCAAAATTTACCAAATGACAATGGAACTTGTACAAATTTTTAAAATTTTCTTGGGATAGACGTTTACGGACTCTCCTCCGGTCCAATACGATGCAGCCTAATCATTACTGCTTATGGGGCCCCCTCAAAAACTCGTTCCTATAGGTCTGGGGCGAAAGACTGCATATGAAGAAGTTATTATTGCGTTTAACCAGTCGGGAAATTTGCATACCCCAGTTGCCTCTTGGATTAAATGAAGTCATTTCCATAGGAATACTAACGCGTAGTCTTGTTATTATGTCCACAGTACGGCAAGGTGTTGTACTACAGCGATCCTGTTATTATCTGGTTGTTCCTCATGACGTTTGCCGTGGTGACCATTATATTCTGCTTTCTCATCTCAGTGTTTTTCTCCAAAGCGAAGTTAGCGTCTGCCTGCGGCGGGATAATATATTTCTTGACCTACCTTCCTTTTGTGTTTATTTCCATCCGAGAGGAGGCTGGTTTTGTGAACGTGTCTGGCAAAGAGAAAATGGCTGCTAGTTTGCTCTCCACTTCCGCTTTCGGATTGGGAGCGAGGTACTTTGCCATATACGAAGAGGAAGGCGTCGGGGTGCAGTGGTCCAATCTAGGAAAGAGTCCCGTATGTATTATATAACAAAGCGCAGGAAAGATCCCCGTATATTTTACAAATCATAGCTTAGGAAAGAGTCCTGTACACCTGTATGTTTTACATGAAATAATTTAATTAGGATCAGGTTTCTTATTTATTACTTAACATAATTTATTTAATTCAGGATTTACTAAGTTTGTTGACTTCTTCACCACAAAGTGTCCCAGGGCGTTCGTCTTTCAGTCTGGTAACGCTCATTTAGAACTGTTTCGTATTGGAGGCTACTATGCATTAATTTTCAACAATATTCTTAACCTCAAGTCGAAGATACCGCTGCATTTGATAAATTTGCATTCCACTTCCAAAGTCGCACATTAATTCTGATCCATGCGTGGGAATGAAGTCGCAGATGGACGAAACTCTTTTAAAACAAGACGTTCTGTACTTAAAGGGATAGCTCTAGATGCAGTGCAATTTATACGTCACTTTAAAGAATAAGGGATTAATTTCCATTTTTTTTTCTTTTTTCATGACTGAGCTCTTCTACTAACTTTCCTCTCGCAGGACAATCTTCAATACCTTTGTTCTTAATATTTACACAATATTGATTTATAAAATAAACCCTAGCTATTCTGACTTTGAAAATAATGTCGATCTCCACCGTTTTTGACCCCAGATCAAAGGAGATGATTTCAACCTGCTGACAGTTTTGTACTGCATGTTGATGGACGCTGTAATCTACGCTATTATGGTGTGGTACATAGAGGCTGTTCACCCAGGCTCCTACGGCCTTCCGCGGCCCTGGTACTTTGTCTTTCAGCCTTCGTACTGGTTCGGCCACAACACGCAGTCCTGTCCTAAGATGAGCCGTCGAACATTTCAAATGATGACATCGGATGAGCTGGAGGATGCGCCTCAGGCAGATGGACTGTTGGCGTATGAGAGAGAACCTATCCACCTATCACTGGGTGTCACAATAGAAAACCTTGTTAAGGTATGTAAAATATGGTCTTGTCTTGTCTTTTTTGCTTTTGCCAATTCCTTTGTTAAAGGTAGATGTAGTCGCTTGCTAATATTTGCTAGTTTGCACTGTGAACCAGCACATACTCACTTAGACACATTTTGTAAAGTTTCGACTTCTTGGAGTTCTGGATGGCAAAGGTGACAGCGCTCTTGCCCGCCTTGTTACGGGGTTTAGATGTTAACGACCTTAAAAAAAGCCCAAAGATAAATTTTTAAGAGGTCATTAGCCCCCTGGGAATGAAATCGTAGTACGATAGTCCGTTCGATGTTTAGTTCATCACGAGTAAACCAAGAATTCAATCCTCTTAATTGCTGATATTCTTGTTTTTGTAACGTTGCCATTAATTCAAATTCGTTGACAGGTTTACAAAGAAGGCAAAAAGCTAGCGGTTGACGGACTAACGCTTAATCTTTATGAAGGACAAATCACTTCTTTCCTCGGCCACAACGGAGCTGGGAAGACAACAACCATGTCAATCTTGACAGGTCTGTTCCCGCCCACTGCTGGCACTGCATACATCTATGGCTGTGACATCAGGAATGACATGGATAAGATCCGGCGGAGCCTGGGAATGTGTCCGCAGCACAATGTTTTATTTGACAGGTTAGTGAAAGGCCAACTTTTAACTCAGTCGCTGATTTGTAAGAATTGAGGGTACAATTTTTAAACGGTGAATTGAAGAACAACACGGGTTGCTTGTGGGTTGTGCACTTCAATATTTCCCGCTCAATTAAAAATCAGAATTTCTGTCTGTATTTATTTACTTTACTGGTCCTGGTAGAGCCAGGTGTAAATATAGGCAATGTTCTGTCTTTTTTTTCACCTCATAGAGTGATAAAAAATAGTTGCGTAAGCCGTATGGGTGCAGGTCAAATTGTTGGGACGAAGAATAAGAAATTTCAGTTTGAAAACTTATTCTATATATTGGTACAAATTATTGCAGTGCTCATTTATTGATTGAGTTCCACGCCCCCAGACGCAACTTATACTGTTGACTCAATAGTCAGAATTGCCACACGCTATCGTCGAATTGGAAATGGTATTCAGAGTTTCCGTTTTTGTTTTTGATTCTGGATGTTCAGGATGACAGTAGATGAGCATTTATGGTTCTATGCAAGACTTAAAGGAATGCCAGAGCAAGATGTCCAACGGGAGATGGATCAGTAAGTACATAAATTCCTTAGTTGTAATTTATTGATAGATGAATCAAACGAGATATTAATCAGGAAGTATATTATTTCGTCTGTTGTAAGTAACTGTGACACATTATAATGAGTAACAAACGGTTTGAAGTTTAGAGAAATGAAGAGGTTTAGATCAATATTTAACACTTATTTCCTACAGAGGATTTCTGTTAAAGTTTCCTCGCACTACACTTTCTAAAATTATGTGCCTCTCGTAGTAACAATTATGTCAAGTGTGACGGGTCCTCAAAACCTCTGTACATTTTCCTCTTCTTACAGCTGTAATGTTTGTCTTCTTGTTTTGTTTGGCTTGTAGTTATTGCCTCTTTAACCGCTAGTTCTATTACACCCTTCCTCGTTTGTAACGAAAAAGCTGAGGTCTGGGATCGACTGTCCTCTAAGGTATCTTGCTGTGTTTGGAGCCCAGACACTACCCTCACAGAGCTTCTCTCCACTCAGGAGTGTAAATGGGTGACGCTGAACTGTCAGGGGAGCCTGATGTATGGGGCCCTCTATGGTGCACAAACATTTCAGTAATTTGGAAGAGTTGGGTAGAAGAGTAGAGATACTCTACGAATCTATGTCATGAAACCTGGGAGAAGCTCCGGCTCAATTAACTCATCGGCCCGTTTGCTTACTGTACCTTTACCTTACTTTAACAGGCTTGTCATGGACGTAGGGCTACCCAAGAAACGCCACTGCGCCGTGGAAACCCTGAGTGGAGGCATGAAGAGAAAGCTCTCTGTGGCCATGGCCTTTGCGGCTGGGTCAAGAACTATTATCTTAGATGAGCCCACTGCTGGTGTGGATCCTTACGCCAGGAGGGCCATATGGGACCTTTTGATTAAGTACAAGAGAGGTAAGCAAATTTAAATAATGGCTAAGATTGACAAATCAGTTCAGGTCAAATCGATGGAAGGTTGCATCGGAGACCTCAATCCATTCTGAACTAACTGACCTTGGTTAGAGTTTCGCTGCGTGCCACTGGACAAAGTACACAGTTCTTAGGGCTTTTATGAAATTGTTATGTTGTCACAGCCTTCGATTTCTTCTTATAGGCATTACAGGTTGATTCGAAGGTTTCTGTTAAGAGGGATAGTCGAACGCTCTTCTGGTCTGGAAGTTGTCTACTTTCCAAATCTTATACAGTACTGAGTTTAGAAAGGATTAAGCTAAGAGACTGGCATCCCTTAAGTGCACCTTTCCCTCGCGGTTATCCTTTACAAGTTATTCTTACATCACCTCACCTTTTCATTCATCCCGAGAGGATCTAGAATTAAACAATCTTGTTCCGAGAATTTAGCTTATTTGGTCATTCCGAGCCCATCTATTCAGTTATTTACTGCTAAACATTCACGCACCATGCAGGGTACTCTTAACATTATTCCCTCGAGCCTACATCACTCGTGTTGAAAAATAACAGTAGATAGATTGCCTTTTTATAAGACTCAAACTCGTTAGTTCAAGAGACTTAGAAAATGAGCGTGGTTGTTTCCAGGTCGAACTATCTTACTCTCCACGCACTTTATGGACGAGGCAGACTTGTTAGGAGACCGTATCGCCATCATTTCAAACGGCAAGCTCCGCTGTGTAGGCTCGCCACTTTTCTTGAAGAGTCACTTTGGAGATGGTTACCATCTTACCCTGGTAAAGAAGCACGACAGAACTCTTCAGGGGTCCATAGTGAATGTTCATATGACACCCGCGGAATCTAGCCAGGGACTGGAAACGAGCGAAACGAGATCAAGCAACAGCACACTTCATTCTGGTAAGTGTAACATTCGAATTCGGAACTCATCGTTATAGGGTAGACGAGCTCACCACTACATAATTCCAGCCGCCCAAATTGTATTTACCGAAGCAAAATTTATCCAGGCACTGATCTTTGGAATCTCTGTGATACGCAGATCATCTGAGCAGTGATGAAGACCATGCGAAAAAGGTTACAAATTTCATCAAATCTCACGTGCCAGCAGCCAGGCTAGAACAGAAAACTCAACAGGAACTCACGTTTATCCTGCCTGACAACTCCGTCAAACGGGGAGGATTTGAAATTTTCTTTAGTGATTTGGAGAAGAAACAATCTGAGCTGGGGATTGATAGTTTTGGACTCACTGACACCGCACTGGAGGAGGTATTTTTAGAATTAAAAAAAGTTTGGTAAATTTGTTTTGTAAGTTGAATTGGGGTTAATGGAGGTTTCGCCCCATTAAAAGTCCCCCCTCTCCCTTCATCGTAGGGGCGAGTTCGCCCCTATGGTAAAACAAGTTCGCCCCCATTTTAGCGTGCCTTCGTGGACTAGCGTTTGACACTGAAAAAAGAAATGCATGTTAATCAAAATGTTATGATTTCGACAGTAAAGGAATATGTTCGGTCATAAAGAACGAGTCGAAACACTTGGGGCGAACTGGAAGGGGTGATGTCGTTTTATTTCTGAGGGCAAACCGGAAAAGAAGGTAGGGGACGAACTTGCAATGGAGCAAAACCTTCAGATACCTTAATAGGTAGCTTTAAACTACTATTTGTTCAAGCAACTTTCTACTTCTGGTTCGGATTAATCGCGCGAAACTCTCAGCCTATCAGTTTCTTTTGGATGGTGCGACGGGGTACGCTGGGAGAGGGGAACTTCTCATAGTCTAAGTTCGAAGACAAAGCTTTCTCCTCCTTTATTGATAATGTTATTTTTTGTTGTAGGTTTTCCTGAAGGTAACCGACGTTTCATCTCGAGATGAATCAGGTTTGTCAACCTTACTGATTTACGAAGAACTGCCTCTATAGCGGACACCAACATCCGCAAAATTTACCGTTGATGTTGTACACTTTACAATTAGGGGAGGCAAAGGAAAAATAAGATTTATCGTATTCATCAAAAATGCAAATATTTAACAGTGTTGTAAATAATAATGGTTCATCAGACTGAAAGAGTTTAATGAAAGCCGTTCGAGGCTCGCGTGAACGAGGAGTTGAATCATCGTTGTGTTCATACTTTTAATGTCACTGAAGTTCAGTCTCTACTGTTGTTTTGTTTAATACTGTTAAGCTGCGAGTATAATGCATACTAACTTGACTAACCTTTCAAAAATACCGTAGGACTGCTCGGGATAGAAAGCGATATCCAACCCAGAGAGAGAAGTAATACTCCAGGGTATCACTGTCTAAAACCTTCCATAGTTTTGTTCATTGCGTAGAAGAAAAGGAACAGAAGTGGCATGAAAATTAAAAAAAAAAATTCAGTGCCTCTCCGTAAGCCTCCCCTCTGAACCTCCCCTCTCCTGACGTGAGCAGTTTGAAACCATAAAAATCTCAGACCTTGGCTACCTTTTTCATTCTCCCGCCCACTTAAATAGTTAGTGACAGCCCTGAGGGGCTCGTACTTTTAGAAATCAACTTAGTTCAAATTTCTTAAGACTAATGAAACATCCAGGCGTCCAGACCGGCACAAATCTTATAACACTTTATTTTGCGCCTGACAGAAGAACTCAATTCTTCCATCATTGAAAACTCCTCAAACCATGCTGAGTCTTCGAGCACTATGCTCAGCGGCGATCCCTCTGGACCAGGTGACGAGTGGGAGGAAGATTTACCAAGGGAAGGAGAGATTGAACTCGGCGACTTTTCGGAGGTTCGATACAATGCGAGAGAACAACTGTTAAGCCCAGAGATCCAGGAAGAGGCCGGCTATCAATATGGTAAGTACACATTCAAACCGATTTAGCCAGAACAAGTGCTGATTGGCTTTTAGGAGTCGAGATTGTACGTAGATCGTGAATGATTAAGGATCTTTCATTTAGCTTTGGAAACCATGTTTGTACAAAAAAAGTTTGTTTACATATTTTCACGTTTGACTGCAGTTGTCATGCAAGAAGAAATATTAAGCGAAAAATTAAGAAAAAGAGATAAAAGAAATCCTTGTTGTGTTTTTAAATATATTCTTCGTGAAAAATTACTTGACTTAGTATAATTCGACGTAATGCATTTAACCAATTTTCGGACCGCTTTCGACTTTCGAACGTCGGAATATACGATTTCTCAGGCCTATACGCTTTTTCCTCCCAGCTGATCAGACGCCGTTTAATGCAGCATTCCAAGGTGTTGGTTCTCGCACACTCACTGGTGCTCCTCTAAAACTGCAGCAGTTCTACGCGCTGTTGATAAAACGTTTCCACCATGCACGTCGAAACTTCAAAGGAGTCATCTCTCAAATCCTTTTACCTGCCATTTTTATCTCTATTGCTATGGTTATGGCCCTTTCGTTTCCCAAGACCCCGGATCAACCTCCATTGGAATTAACTCCATCCATGTTCCCGCGGCCTAACTACATCCCGTTTGCAAACGAGGCTAAGGGAGTGAACCGCTTGGCGTCGCGACTGGACAAAACACTGACTCTCCTCTCTGGGGTGGGAGCGACTTGTTGTCTGCGTTCAATCAATCTAACTACCACAGACTCTAAACCTTCAAAGGAGAACTTAGCCCAATTGTTCAATCATTCGTGTTCGGTCTCGATAGACGAAGTTTCTGATGATTATTTCAAACCGTCCAACATTAACCTGGGGTTCATTTACACAAACGGATCTAATGTGTCCCATGCAGTTACTCACAAGGACACGGGCAGGGGTGCCGGTGCTCCGCTAACAGGACGGCGTATGTGTGCGACCGGGGAGCGGCCGGGACATCCTAAGGAACTGGTCACCATTACATTGGATACATTACAGAACATCACGGGGAGAAATATTTCAAAATATCTCCTGTATACCACGAAGACTTTTAGGCTTCACAGGTAATGATCGTAAACAATGTAATTGAACTATGTTTATTTGGATCTTCTGGTCTCTTGACGGGTCCTAGGGAATGAAGCTTACGGGCGGGGGAGGAGATGCCTATGAAGGGATATCATTTTGATTGGTGTAACCGGAGATTTTAGCTGCGAAGGTGTAAGCTGTTGAGAGTGGAAGGGGCGGGGGAGGAGGGGTAGGGTTTTCTTTTAGAGGAGCAAACGTGTCGGTAACAATTAGATGGGGATTTCAAGCGGTATTTTATAGTATAGCATTTGGGCGTCTGGGGTAAACGTTCCCAATTTTTAGTTCTTTGACGTGATGGCGTTTTTATCTTTCCGTACCATAGATATGGTGCGCTCTCCTTCGGTGAAGTTGTGAGTTTCGTGCCTCAGAAGTTGGACAAAGTTAAAATAGCCTCTGTTAGACGATTAGCTGTCAGAGAAGCTGTCAAGGTTTGTATATATATATTTGTTTGTTTGTCTTCATATAGACTTGCATGCATACTCACCCGGCTTGCTTCTTACTTCTGTAGGCGTGGTACAATAACAAGGGCTACCATGCCATGCCAACGTACTTGAATGTTATGAACAATGCCATTCTGCGAGCCTCTCTGGCAAAGGAGAAGGGGAATCCTGCAGCCTATGGTACGTAGTAGACACAGCGATGTTAACAGCTGCTTTTTATAGGAGGTTTCCAAAGAAGTTGTCCCTGTTTAATTTCATTTGTGGATCACTGTGCAGATTTCCCGTTGTAACAAATCAGTGTTTCCAAAATTTCCCTATTTTTTTAAGTGTTACACTCATCTTCAAAGTCGTCTTTTGTAAACGCCTCTTTGATTCATTTGTTTTGATTTATATTCTCGTGTTGTACATTTCGATTGAATTTCCTCAAACCAACACCAAAGGAATCACAACTGCCAATTGGAACAAAGGAGAGTTTATAGAGGAGCTAACGATATTTCAAAATAAAGTAAGCAAACCGTCTGAAACGCGCTTGAACTCAAGTAACTAAGTCGCGATTAGTTTTATTTTCGTCTCTCGTTGGTGTAGAGGAGACCAATTATTAATCATAGGAAAGAAAAAAGGAAGACAATTTTACACATGATAAGAAATTACCCCTAATTCAATTTGGTAGCTCTTTATCATCATCATTATAATAGTGAAGCGGGACATGAAAACAAAGCTTCCTACTACTTTTGTGTTAACAAAAATTCCTTTTTCCTTTGACAGGTATCACAGTGTTTAACCATCCCTTCAATAAAACTGATTCCAATCAGCTGTCAGCCAGATACATGTGAGTTGTTCAGATTATTCATTTATCCACTTTGTCAAGAGGATAGGAGACGCTGTGCCTAACGTCGGGTTAGCACTGTGGGCTTTAAATCGAGAGGTCTGGGGTCGAACCCTGGCCGAGTCAATATGTGGTGCTTTTCGGTAAGACGCTTCCATATCCACAGCCGGGTTGTTCAAAACTTGATTAAGCTACCCATGTTTCATTTAATTTTTTCTGTAGCTCTTCCTGACAATTTTAGCATTCACATTTTGTTTCCTTCAATTTTGCTTACAGCAAGATGAAATCAAATTAAAAAACGAGCTCGAATATATGCTTCTCTCACGAAAAACCAAAACGAAGTTTTAATTTTAACTTTCAATTAACGCGGAGCTTCTTTTAAATAACCAGCCCGAGGTTTATAAATGAGTACCGGTGAACTGTTACGAAACATAAACAAAATACTGGGTCGGTTTCTTACGATGGTTTTGCATTACATCTAGGAAGAGTTCTTTGATGGAGCTATTATGTTATTTTGCAGGCGTCAAGGAACAGATCTAGTGATTGCTATCTTTGTGATAATCGCCATGTCGTTTGTACCGGCGAGTTTTGTCGTATTTCTTGTAACCGAGAGAGCTTCCAAAGCTAAGCATCTGCAGTTTGTCAGCGGCGTCGACCCCGTCATTTACTGGCTTTCTAACTACGTTTGGGATCTGGTAAGTAAAGAGTTTTCATTCTTTTAGACAAATTCTTGCCTTTGTCTCACACTTTGTCCGCTTTTGAGTTTGAGTTCAGCTTAGGACAATTAGAGTGCAGTAAACGAAAGTACTCCGAGAGGTACAAAAGTTAAGTCAATCGCGACTTTCTCGCTTGCTTTTTTGGGTTCTGAGTGATTTCTGGTGATTTATATGATTGTTTTGATTTGCTACTGTGATTACTTTGGGTTTTACGATTCTAAGTCGAAAAGCGTTCTATAGCAAAAAGTCTTCAGCAATCGCGGTTATTCAAGACGTGTAGCAAGTAGATTGACAACTAAAGCTGCATTATAAACGAAAACTGTGTTACCGTGACTCTTCCCACAGTGTAACTACCTAATCCCAGCGTGTGCCTGTATCACTCTCCTACATGTGTTTAAAGTACCAGCCTACTCTTCAGACACGAACTTCCCGGCCGTTGTCTGCCTCTTCCTGCTTTACGGGTGAGTTAATGAATGACCACAAACTGTTTCTCTTGTACGAAGCGGATCGACAGTTACCCAATGAAAGTCAAAATAATCCGGTATTGCTCTGGTTTGTTTTACCTGGATCTGTGATTTGTCAATAAAACTCGCACTACCCTCTCCACTAATCACTGACAAGTTAAAAATAGAAGTTAACCCTTTAACTCCCAAGATCTCATCAGTAATTCTCCTCACTTTCTGCCATACAGTTCTTGTGATGTTAGTTTTGAGAATTTGGTATTGGATCAACTAATGATCCTCTAAATGATATTTTTATTTATTCTCATCACCTGTCTGCTTGATATTGTATTGATATCGTAAGGAGAAATTCTGTCGCGATCACTTAGGGGAGTTAAGGGTTAAACCCAACGGCGGATTGACTTAGTCACCCGCCTTTTCCCATGATTCAGGGAGTTTGCTTGAGTTTACTTCCAATACTCTTTAGCTTTTGGTAGTCTTGAAATATTTTAATCCGTTCAAAATGGGCGTTGTGACAATTTTATCTTTGCTTTGGTTTTTACGGCGCTCAGTCAAATTGCGCTGTGATTAATTACCGATTGGTTTCTCTTTGATTTATGGTGCATTCTGGTGATTTGGTTACCGTCACCCACCATCTGATCGTTTCACCCTGCTGTTGTACCGTAGTTAAAAATATTTCTTTACCTGTCTCTTATAAACTAGTTTTCGCTTAACTTTCACTTGACGTTTCGTTGCAGATGGTCCATTACTCCCATGATGTATCCAGGAGCGTTCTATTTCAGCGAAGCCAGCTCCGCGTACGTGTTTATGATAGTGGTTAACCTCTTTGTTGGAGTTACTGCCACCGTTACTACATTCATTCTGCAGCTTTTCCCAGATGATGTGGTAAGATACTACACTAAAAGAATCTTTATGTGTGCTTAAATCTCGTGCTCTACTTAAATTTTCTCTTAGCATGCAACGTTTGGTTAGAGGTGATGCTAAGCAAACTAACGCCGACACAGTATAGTAAAAAAAACTGGCGGAGTTATAACTATCACACGATGTTTTCAGGATCTTTTTTTCAACACGCCAAATTACCTTGAACGTGAGGGAAATCGAAAATTTTTAATTTGTCAGAGAGAGTGACAGCAATATGGGAAAATGTCCCATAAAGGCACGAGAATGATTCAGGATAGAGACGATTCACAATTAAGGATTGCAAGCAACCAATTTGAATGTATGATACACGTGAGAAAGACATTTTTTGTTCTCAGTATCGTTCATGTTGCTTCCTATGAAATAGTATGTAAATGGATAATATTTTGTATTGTTTGATAGGTGACTCCCCTCAATAGTGAGCTCTCCTTTGAAGTTCCTGATTGAATCTATTTGCTCTTTTTTCAGCTGTTAACCAAAGTTTACGAAGCCTTGAGAATTATCAATCTTGGATTTCCGAACTACTGTTTGGGACATGGTCTTATGGACCTGGCTTACAATCAGTATTTGACAGAGTACTACACACAGATAGGTATAACATGGAGATTATGTCATGGAAAGAGCGCGCGAAAGATGTTTATTCACAAGTTGCGATGCATCAAAAAAACGAACTAGTGAGCGCCGCGAACGAGTGATTTTTTTGATACATTGCAACGAATGACCTAAAGTCGTTCCAGCACTTTTGATGATATGATGTTTTTATTTCAAACATTCCCATATTTTTTCACATTTGAATTCGAAGACTGGAAGCGAACGACTGTGAAAATACATCGTTCGTCTAATCAGAGACACGAATGATAATACTTCGCAGTGTAAATCTCAGTATGTATGGAGTAAAATCAATTACGAGTTGTTAGAGCACATTAGAAATTGCACTAGACGTAAATAGGTATAACTGATGTCACCATTTTCATGAATCTGACCAAAACAAAGGGAGAGAAACAGTTACTCCTAGATGGTTGATATTTCCGACAACTCAGTTATCAGGCTAAAAGCTTAGACAATTAAGTTTTTTCCCAAGTGGTTTAGTTCCAACGCAGTTGGCTTCGTCTTCGTTTTAGACCTTTTGTCTGTTTTCAGGTGAGGACGATAAGATTAGGGATCCCTTTGAATGGCTCCTCACAACACGTAACCTGGCATGCATGGCTGTGGAAGGAATAGTGTTCTTTATTTTCACCGTGCTGATAGAATTCAGATTCTTTGTGAAGCGAAGGTGAGCTTTTAAAGTCCTTCACCTGCAAGAAAAACCAAAAGGAATCTCTACATGTAATGTTAATATTTTCAAGCAAAATATTGATAAGGTTAAAAGAAAACTTTCAATTGGGTAATATTCACTGTTTTAACGAAAAATTCTTAGAGCTAAAATTGGTAAGATATGTTTGGCAAGTAGTAAGAGAGTTGATTTTAGATCGCAGGATTGACAGGAATAAAAGAAGAACGCCACGAAATGATAGTTGTTATAACTTATACCGATGTGTTCTCTTAAGACGCACGCACGTGTCCAAGGAACCAGTGGAGGGCCTGGATGAGGACGTAGCAGCTGAGAAAGACAGAGTTCTGAGTGGGGGCGCCAGAAGGGACCTTGTACGGTTAGAAAACTTAACAAAGGTGAGGCGTTGCGATCCGCGAAGATTCAGTGGATTTAGATCAGTTACACAGTAGATACAGGTGTAACACAGCCTCGTTTGCTTAATTGAAGTCAGTGGCGTTATTCTCAGCGTTATTGCTGATGAAAGCAACAGATAACTGCCTTTGAAATACGACTTTTCAATAAATTTCGGGATTGTCACCAATTTATCGTCCTTTTCTCTTCGAAGGTTTACTTTTCTAGAAAGCGTGGTAAGCATCTGGCCGTGGATAGACTTTGTTTAGGGGTACCTAAGGGAGAGGTGAGTTTTACACTATCAGTTGGAACCGATTTGCAAATTCATTTGAAGATTCTGTAGTAGAAAATTCACAGCGCATTTTCTCAAGGTTATCCTTCGTCCTTGCAGTGTTTTGGTTTGCTCGGTGTTAATGGAGCTGGAAAAACGAGTACATTTAAGATGTTAACCGGAGACACCTCATTGACGGCGGGAAATGCCTACCTAAACACACACAGGTTAGTCATGAGCCGAAGGTTAGTTCACTGAAATGAGTTTTGCAGTTGCTTATTGCAATAGTTATCGGTCATCATCATCATCATCATCATCATCATCATCATCATCATCATCGCTCGTTGCGCCAGTAGGCGCATGAGGCCGTCACATTGTCCTCCCAACCCCCCTGTCGTGTGCCACTGCCTTGGCCAAATTCCAGCTCTTCCACCCTGCCTTGCCTCTCTCTCTTTCGACAGTCCTTCTCCAAGTGGTTTTTGGTCTTCCTCTCGCCCTTCGACCCTCTGGTGTCCACCCCAATGTGGTAAAACAGTTATCGATGGATAAGTGTAAAGGAGCTTAGAGTGGAACACCAAATAGCTTGCAATATAACCAATCTGGTCAGGACATTTGACTGCTTTGAAACAATCTGAAGATCCGCCCTCTTTGGAAATTATCGGACAGTCTTGGAGTTGTCGCTCTAATTAGCCCTCTCATCGATAATTCGAATTTTCGATCGTGTAATTATGTTTTAGATAGGTGAATGGCCTTCCAGACAGGGAGACAGATGGGTAGATTGACGAACTGACAGACGCAGAAACAGACACATTTACAGACAGACAGACACATTAATGGATAGACAGATGGATAAACGGATAGACAGACTGACAGACTCAGTGAGGCAATGACCTATAGACAGAAACAGATGCTTATAGAGACGCTGTTACGGCAGGCAGACAGACAGACTGACGGATGTAGACAGACATTGACGAGATAGACATAAGTATGGACTGTTTTACCGACGAAATGACAGATCAATTAATTAACGTTTGTTTTTTCTTTGACAACAGTATTGTGTCCGAGATGCAGAAGGTCCATAAGTGCATGGGATACTGTCCCCAGTTCGACGCTCTCATCGATGAACTGACAGCGAGTGAACATCTGACGCTTTACGCACGGCTTAGAGGAATTCCTGGAAACGAATTGCAGTCGGTAAGTAGCATGGACCATCTGTGTAGCCCTCTGTAGCGCTTGCGATTTTAGATTTTAAACTTACCCTCTTTGAGATTGAATGCCACTTTGAGACAAAACCTATGAAAATAGTAGTTAAAAGGAAAATAAAGAAATTTAGTTTCGGCCTGTTTTAAACGTTCTGTACTTAAATTTCACGATTCCTAAATGTTGTGTCACTGGTAACAACTGGTTGTGGAAAATTTAATAAAAAACTTGGTCGTTGTCCCATTTGCCCCCCAAAATGAGAATTCAGTTGGATCACGCATCAAGCTACCATGTCTTAATGAGCCGTGAAACAAGTGAAGGGGACTCAATATCCCTGTTTGGCTCAGAAGTAATCTAAAGTGCTAACTTCTCTCAAAATTTCACCACATCATCGATTAAAAGTAGATGAAAATGGATAAACGTTTTAGTTGTAGAGTTTTATTTGATATAAGGATTAAGAACCTCTAATCAAATCGCGGGAGTTGAAGGGTTAAAAAGTTTTGTTTGCAAATTTAGGTCTCGCTCACCCCGCGAGCATCATTTTTACAAATTCACTCTCTAGCGTTTATCTTACGTAGTATAGATTTTTGTTGTGATGGAATCTTGTATTTATCGTTAGGTTGTAACGTGGGCGCTCAAGAAGCTTTCACTGTCACGCTTTGCTAAGAGACCCAGCAAAACGTACAGCGGTGGAAACAAAAGGAAACTTTCAACCGCCATGGCTCTGATTGGCAACCCGCCAATAATATTCTTGGTAATTAATTCGTGTTATTTGTTTTTTTTTTAGTATTATACAAATTAAAACGAAATCCCAACAAACCTTTTGTAGACAGTTAGCGAAGAGAGATTATTTTTTTAAACCAACTTTCCGTTACATGCGATATTTCGAGATAAGGACAAGGTTAATCTACTTCGCAATGCTAAATTTCAACTAAGTAAACCCTACTTTGGAGGGGTTGTTCAAAGCAAATATGAGCTTCAGTTTGAAATACGTTTGTTTGGTTATGGTTTTCCGCACTCAGGTGTTCCTCTGTTTATGTTTTGAATATGTATCTCTTGTTTTCACAAAGCATTAACAACTTCGAAAAAAGACAGTTTTTGTATTCCTTGAGTGCTGATTCGGGATATGTGAGACCCTCTAACTTGATTGATCACAATGTTTCTTTTCATTTTTTCCTGTGTTCAGGATGAGCCTACCACAGGGATGGATCCACATGCTCGTCGCTTTCTGTGGAATTTGATTCTGGATATCATTAAGGACGGCCGCTCAGTTATCTTGACTTCACACAGGTCAGTTTTTAGCAACGGCTAGCACAAAACTACTCGTAAGTTTGAATCAGTATTTTTCTGTTAAACTCACGCTTGCGTTATGTCCAACAGTATGGAGGAATGTGAAGCACTGTGCACTCGCTTGGCTATCATGGTCAATGGCCGCTTTAAGTGCCTTGGAAGCTGTCAACACCTGAAAAACAGGTCAGTTGTACGCACGAATATCCACAAAGGAGAGTTTCGAGTTGTTTTTGGATCCTGTTCCACCCCTTTTTCAGTGGAAAAGTAAAAAATAATCCAGAATAGTAATGTTTTCGTCTAAAAATGCTCTCTGATTGGTCCAAAAGTTTCGCGCCACCACCAGACTGAGCTAGACTTGACTGTTAGCCTTTCTTGCACTTCAGGCAGTTTTGGTGCTTGTTTTTTTTTTTACTTATCATTGCTTCTTTTGAGAAGTCACTTGTATGCAGAGTTACTTATATCCGTTGCGAGTACTTTAGTCTTGGTTAATGATTCTCAATCAAAAAGGGCTGAAGTTGTGAGCAGAAGCTCGATTTACCTGGAACGCGTTCAATTTTTGACAGGTTCGGGGAGGGCTACATCATCACTGTCCGTGTTCAGGGAGACCTACCCAATTTGGAGCCTTTGTACCAGTTTTTCTCCGAAAAGTTCCCTCGTGCAACGTTAAAGGTAAAACAGACTTACGCAATTTTCCAAGTACATGTTTGGTAGACGGTATGGTATGGTAGACTTGAGTGTCAGGGTATTTAGCTTTGAAAAATCTAATTGGTGAAACTGTTAAATTGTAAACAGTTAAAAAAAATCCATGTTTCTTTATCGTTTGTTCTTGTCCCCTTTTTTTTCTGCACGAACACACTATTATGTTAAGGTTTCCCTCTGATAAAAGGGAATTCTCTCTGACGCCTGAACACTATTTTGAAGAATCATAGTGTAACTCCTTTGGCACTTACTCTCGAAAAATTCACTCATTTTCAGGAAAATCATCATAACATGGTTCAGTACCAGCTCCCCTCGGGTGTCATGGCACTCTCCGAGGTGTTTGGGCATATCGAATCATCCTATGAAGTGTTGAAAATCGAGGACTATTCCGTTAGCCAGACAACACTGGATAACGTAAGTAATTCTTCCGGCTGCTTCTTCTATCTTTCCTGTCCCTTAGGTTTATGGGCTATCTTGTTGTTAAATCTTGTTCAATTTTCCCAGGTTTTTATCAACTTTGCCCGTCAACAAACGGACGAAATTGATTTTGACGACAAATCATTGTCGACTGGAAGGACTGGGTCGAGATTCAGAGTACGCAGGCGTGCGGAGAGGTTGCGAGACATTTGGTCTGACGAGGTGCGGTTCAGTGCTTTGGAAGAGGAAGATGGGGAGCCTGGGGCATATGATGATGATGATGACGCCTGGCAAGTAACCTTCTCTGACCGGGTGAGTTTGGTCCCGTTTTCATCTGCGAATGATTATCTATGAAAAGTGTCTTAGTTATGATCACTACCTTCTAAGAATGTTATTTTGGGTAAAGTGAGCGGGGAATGGTCTTCTAGTAACCTCATACCCATGGGGGTCTGGGTATGAGACTGGTCTTGTAGCAACAGGTAGCTTTCTTCACTTTGTAAAACTATTTTGTAATTTTGCAGGCACGCCTTTCTTTTGGCGCCTCCACGAATTTTGAAGCTGCAGACAGTTCTGATCTTGATGAGCGAGGCTTGGTAAATTTCTCATGGTTTCAAGTTCCCATAAAATTATACGTATCATTTGTTAGTGGTTCATTGTTTTTCGAATTTGTTGATGATGTTTATGACTTCTATCGCCCGGGTTCCTTCACAGTCGAGAAAACAAGCGAAAAATATTTAACTGCTCAAAAAATATTGTTATTTATCATTTATTTATGTATCTTAATCAGGGTCATACTTGATTTCGTTCAAAATTGCAGGGTGAGAACAAATGTGGAAAATATTGGTGCACTCAGTCGTTTGTCTTCCAGTACCACAACTGGAATTTATCTATTTGTATCTAAGTAAAATTGCAATTTTATGTGAATTTGTAGTTTTTTTTGTTTGTTACAAAGTGGCTAAAAGGGAAGAAAGAAAAAATTGGAGGTTTTTTTTTTTAAATTTTAAACAGCCCCTATTATGACCTATTATTAGAATCTATGAGCCGCTGTGGAGAAGCCAACTTCAGTTTGCGATAGCTACTCAAGACTCTCGGGTCTTGGTTGAGGAGGGGGCGAACGCCCCTTTCCAACCCCTCCTCCCTCCCCCACACCGAGAGAATTTTGATACCAGTGCACTTGATGACAACCCAGCGATTTTTAATGTTAGCTTATTTAGAGTGTTATTTTTGTAACGAAGAAGATTGGGTCACACTAAGGAAAATTTTGAATTATTAGTTTTCTAGGATAGGGTTATATTCCAGCAATAATAATAAATCACAAGTGTGGGTGGATGAAAAAAATACTCGATAAAGATTTAAGGTAAAATGAACTTTGTGTCGTTGCTAGGAACTTGAGTAGAATGATTTGTAACTAATTTGTAAGAAGCGTATATCGTGCAATACGAAGATAAGAAGTGACTTGTTTAAAAGCGGAAAGGGAACTTAAAAATATCGGAAGATAATAGTTATATTTTGGTCAATGTAAAAACGATACATGGTTATATTTAAGGCGGTGAATTAAAGGGTATTCATAACAGTAGATCCTTGTTATTCAGTGATATTCTATTGTGTTATTTCAGTATGTAAAATGAAAGTTGCATCTGTGATCTGTGGGAAGCTGAAAGGGGGGAGGGAGGAGGGGGAGGAAGCTTGGGAGGAAGCTTCGGAAGATCAAGGTCAGTCGTCGTTTGTTACGACCGGGTTGAAATCAGAGTTTAAAATTTCAAGATCAAGTGATAACGCGATGGTAATTTCAACTCCTTTTCTTTAATACCGCAAATTTTTATCTCTTAGATTTTGCTGCTACCGTAAAGCAGCACTCTTAAGTTCCAGAATATTTTGATTTAATTAGAAATAAAAAAGGATTCGTCGAAGTTCCTACACACATAACAAAAATATTTCGCACAGTAAAGATAAATTTGCAGTAAATTTAAGATCAGTTTAGTTGATTATCCAAATGAAATAGCTCCAAGCTATTTTCTGTCAAGTAATTTCATAGAATTATTTGGAGCCAACGCTTGAAAAACTGCAATGAGTTACAGAAGTACTGGGGACGAATAAAATCAACATCACAATTTAGAGGGAGTCCCCTGATTGTTGAGGTTCTTATTACTTTTGCCATCGACCCCCCCCCCCTCCAATCACCCATCACCCATTTCCCAAGAAAGTTGCTCAGATCCAGCCCTAAAATGAGTAAACTGGAAACCGTTCAAACAAGGTGAGAATTAGCGCCCCAAAACTTTTGCCACTCATTGTAGATGGTGGACGAGACCGCCGCTTAAACAGCCTGACCGTGACTTGAAGGTGCAAATAGAGGTCGAACAACGCAACAATCACTCTTCGAGAACCTTTCATCGCGTTCCACGAACAGCACATGCACATGCACGCACGCAGCATTACAGTGAAGGTGAATAGCAACCGAGTTTCCGTGTTTCTTCCTTAAGCTGTTGTCCAAGAGAAGTTCGGAATGAGTTGAGGACCACGGCCCATAGAGGGGTTCAGGATTGGCCAGACCGCGAGGGCCTGTTGACTGAGCGAGGTGAACAAAGAAAGTTGCGCAGGTTCTGATACCAACGGAGACGCAGAAAATTATTTGGTATTCCATTCATTTACTATTATTCTCGACAGGAGTATTGAATTCAATTATTCAGCCAGTTTAAAGGAAGCAATCGCCTTTTCGATCTTCCCAAGCTCAGTCTCTAATTGTTTGAGCTGAAACAGGGGAAAACAGCCAAAATCAATCTCTGAGAAGTTATAGTCATGTCACATGACCCAAGATAAGTTCACATAGAATTTACCTTTGAAGTAAACGGTTTTAGGCCTGGGTTGAAAGTTAGTTAAAACCCTCCCCAAACCTGGTAAAAATTGAAGGTATTTCAGGTAAATCGAGCTACTGCTTATAACTTCTGCCCTTCTTGATTGAGAATCGTAAACCAAAGTTAATCTTGTGGTGTGATCGTCCTGGTTTAGTGATCTTGGAAATGACCGTTTAAAGTTTGGCAACAATCACCTGCAACAATCATTTTTAAGCCTAACCTAAGAAAGAGAGTAGTTTTCCCGCCTGATTTCGTTACAACTTCGTAATTTGAATCTTGTACATTTGATAAAATTAAATATATTGAAGGTTAATTATAAAAGATTTACCTTTTCAGAATTTTGTTGCTGGACGTTCTCCGGTACCTGAAATGTTCACATAAAACAGCAAATGTTGATTACCATCAAAAGAGGAAAAATAACGTAATTTAAGCTAATGGTCCTTCCCGACTTCTGTAGTCTCCTTTTTTATCAACAGGTTTTGGTGCTTATCCTTTTACATCCAAGCAAAACTCATTTTCGCACTAAGCTTCATTTTCATGCAAAGGCTTAAAGCAACTCGAAAATGATAAATTGAGCACCACAAGATAACTGAACGAGAACAAAAGGAGAGGAATCACCTCTCCTCCACAAGGTCTGAGCAGGTTTTCCAGTAGGGCGATCCCAAAAGACCATTCTGTGGGCATTAAGGTGCCTACCACCAGCTACCTTGGTTTAAAGAGGGATGTTAAAGGACACCTTGCTCTCCCCACACTCCCCCTCTTATCAAGCTGGCCCATTTTATTGCATCATACCTTTGTGGCGTAGTCAGCAATTCCCATGGCTTCATTTAATTTCGTCAGCTGTCCATTTAGTTTATCTTTCTTTCCTTCCAACTTTGTGATTTCCTTAGCTACATCCACCAAACCCTAAAAGTAAAACCATTACAGAGGAAAGGGTTACCTTGTAAAATATTATGCAGGTGGTGTAACGACTTCTGTTTCCTCATTATAGCACTCGCATAAATGACTCAAAAGGTGATACATAAGAGGATGTCAGCTAAATACCTTGAGAACCACATGCACTTCGCACTTGTCCGAGACAGTGGCCACAGCACATCCACGTGGAGGCTTCTCCTCGCACACCACACGAATCCTGCCAAACAGAAACAGTCACACTAATTAGGAATCTCAGTGTCACTAGGGCAATTTTCAAATGAGTGTCGAATGTGATCCAGGGTTGCTCACGTTTTGCTTTACTTCGCTCTGTGATTGATCCAGAAAACCGCATCACTTCATCAACCAATCGGATGCAAAAACTGAAACAAATCACGACTTGACCGCACGCGCTTTCCCGCGCTTTGGGCAGTTTGGTTGTTTTGAATTCGAGTTCTCATTGGTTCTTATGGTAATTTCCTTTCTTTTGATTGGCCGTTGGGATTACTTAAGTTTTGGTTTTACCGCACTCAGTCGAAAAGCGTTTTGCTGATTATTAAGAGGAATGATAGCTTTTTCAACCGCATGGACGGGTGTATATTATGAAGTAAAGTTTCGTCATAGCTACGAGTCTTAAAAACGTAAAGTACATCATCGTACGTTAGCACAGCCATGAACAGCCATGTGAGGAAAAAGATTCAAAACCACAGGAAATCTTAGAATTAACCAGTTAAGAGCAGCGCAAAGAGCTGATACCTTCACTGCATTTTGAATGGCACTCATGGACAACTGACTGTTACCCATTTAAACTCTTTGTTGACTCGAGAAAGTAACTCTCGGTCGGGAGTCCAGCCGGCCCATTAACCGAAATGGAGCTGTGAATCTAAAGATACGCGCCGCTAAAATCTATGAAGGATCACGCAATTTAACTTTAGTATTACCTTTCGCTGGAACTAAGCGTGCACGCCGTTTCTGCGTATTTGCTGACCGCTCCTGCCAAAGACTGTTCGGAGAACACTACATACACTAAAAAAAATTAAAAAACAATATTATCGAGAGAGTTGAAGGATAAGAGGTGTCGATTATGAAGGCGTTGAAAGATTGATTTTTTAAGTTCTTAAACTTGTTTAAGGATTCGGTGTGAACGAATCCCGAAATTCCAGCTTGTGACGTAATCAAGCTCAAAGGTACAAAAGTAAACCCGCAGCTACGAGTGATTAGCGTCAATTTCTCCTTGGAGTATCACCACTCAGTGAAATATTAAGGTCATGAGAATAAAAGAAATGATCTCCAACTTAAGAAGCTCTTGATCAGTAAAAATATTCTCCTTGTCAATACCATGGAAAATGTATAAAATCAGTACATACAATAACATACTGATATTGGAGCGTAAAGGGTTTAAGTTTCAGATTTGAAACACCTCGATCTCACCCTTATCAGTAACTTTGACTACACCATGGTGAGAAACATTTTTTTTTCACTCCCACATTTAAAACAAAAGAATTTTATAGGTGAATACCTTCAGGCTTTGCACGTGTCAAGTTGTACTCTTGACGAATGGAACGGATCGATTTCACAATAGTCTGCACCAGATTCAACTCGTCCTCGAGGTTTGCGTCTCTCCACGGAAGCTAAACATGCAAGAAACACCTTAGAAACATAGAGGGATCTCTAGAACTACACGTTAACTGTGTAACCTTCCAAGAAAAACAAATATTTCAGAATTATTTTCGATAGAAATTTATCCTCGGATCTATTCAGTCTTGTAAAAGTGAAAAGAATTAATAAGAATACGTTGTGACTAAAAAGCACGCTTTCCCTGCCTTCCCTAACCTTGTACTCAATCACCACTTACCTCCTCTGGGTAAGGTGTGACGCAAATACTTGGCGGTGAGTCTTCAGTCCTACGCGGTAATCGTTGAAATAGTTCCTCTGTCACGTAAGGCATGAACGGACTGAGAAGAATCAACCCATTCTCCAAACACGTGTAGCTTGCAATGGTTAAGGAATTTTATCTTACGTCACGTGAGGTCCCCCACGCGCACTATCAATAGAAAACCATAGTGGAAGCTGACGTGTGTAGAGCCAGACGGGTTGACGCGAGCCGGTTCGCAAAAACCCGTCCGGCCCTGCATTCAAACGGTTCTTTTTCATTTTCCGAGAACGTGGATTGACATTGTGGACTTCACGATAAAATAAATCAGATCAGGGACTGAGTCGATGTATCGATGAACTGTGAGTTTCTTGTTCTGACTCGAAGAAAAAAAAGGAAGGTTTTTAATGGTAGAATCTCTTTAGTAGCTGTCAAATGCGCGCCCTTCTGTTGTATTTGAGTATGTACTATTTGGGTTGAAACAAAATGTTCGAAATTTTCAACACTTAGAGGTCATATGATAAAATGCTCATTTATCGAGTTAGGTTGGGCTGGACAGGAAAAACAATGGCTCTCGCTCATGACGCACGGACCTCGTAGCGCTCGGTCCGTTAATCATGATCTCGAACCAAATATTTCTCGCCCGGCCCTTCCACTCAGTCAATAATCAGATATTACTCCCTATGATTTCTTCCTCTGCCCTTTTGTCTTAAGAAGAATACTTCTGCCATGTTTCAATTAAACATTGTAGTGATTCAAGAAAAGGAAATGAAAAGTACACTGGGAAAACTAAAAAGAGCATCTTAAGGATACAGAGTGTTACGTGCTGTGTTGATTGCTTCTTTGTTTTCTCCTTGAAGAATTGGCTTAAGGTATTCCTACAGGAAAAAATACCAAAAAATGTTTTTAAGCAACACGAGGAAGTTCACAAGTGATCACTAAATAGGATTCTGAGAGAGAACATTTTCAAGCCTTTTATTCTACTTTTCTTACCAGATAAACGTCGCACAGCTCGTAAAGCCAGAAGTTGTAAATAGCCGTCGTGGCTGATGGGAAATCGTAGTTCTTAAAGCCTTCATTTGCTGTTTTCTCTGCATAAGATAACCGGCTGAGAATCCAGCGGTCTTCTAGAGTTTCGCTCCCAATAAGCTTTGAAACGCAAAATAGAGAAATGTCAGTTTGATAACTAATTGAAGTTTCCGTTTGTAAAATGACTTGTCTCAGTTAATAGATGAAAACTTTTTATTACACGAGAAAAAACAGAATGTGATCAAGAACTCTCTATGATAGGACAATAGCTCGATGCGTGCTATTGATTCCTGGCTGATGACTTGCAGGGCAGATTTATATAAATGCCTCTCACCCTGCATAACTCCCGTCCCTTCCCCTGCCGAAAGATATATTTCCATAACACAGACTCTCACCTCAGGTTTGACATTTGGTTTGAAGTCAGGTCCCAGGCCGCCCAGCGCAAACTTAGTGGCATTCCACAGCTTGTTGCAGAAATGACGATAACCTTGCACACGAAGTACGTCAAGATTAATATCCCGTCCTGTAGAATAAAATACAACAAGGAAAGTCAGGTCAGCTTGTTTTCCATCTCGTGAACTGCTCCCTTAGAGTTCAGGAACTTGAACGAGTCGTTGTATCACCGTAATTTCACTCTTCCACCCCAAGATCTCTTTAGTAATTCTCCCTTACTGTCTGCCATACAATTCTCATGAAGTCAGTTTGGAGAATGTGGTATTGGATCAACTAGTAATCCCTAGTGGATATTTGTCTTTATTCCCATCACTTGTCTGCTTTTATATTGTATTGATATTATAGGGAGAAATTATGTTTGGTCACTCATGGAAGTCAAACGATTAACACTACAAGGACACTGACCTTGCGCTGTGTAAGCACAAAGTGCAAACCGCAAAGCATCAGTGCCACACTCTGGTATGCCATCAGGATAATCTTCTTTCTGTAAATTTAAGAGGCTTAAGAGGCTTAAGAGTTATACCTAATTACAAGTTTTTACGGGGTAAAATGGTATCATAACACTAAAATGAAAGGTACAAAAATAAACCAAGTCTGAAATAAACCAAAGTAAAATAAAGAGAGACAGTGAGATCAACTCTTCACGCCCAACATCAGTGTGTATATTCTCCATACTATTCTCTACCCATTTCCTTAGGTGCTGACGAAGAGAATTTGATTATCAATCAAGGAGCTTCTTTAATTGGTGATCATTTCGTTGATTCTCGTGACCTTAAGTATGATTTAGGGATGATTTTGCTCGAAGAAATTAGATGCTAGTCATTCTGAGGGGTTAAAAGGTTTATGGCCGCGATGTTCACGTATCTACAACTGTCAGATGCACAGCGCCAGAATTTCACCAAAGGCATCTCCGAATCGATGGCTCTGGACGAGAGAGCTACGAAAGTTACAAAGAATATCAGAAAGTACACCGACGTTTTGATGCTCGGTTGACGCACCCAACGAGGCTGATGAGACTTTAGGGTCGATGCAAAAAACCTGTCTCCTGAACAAGGTCTTGGAATTAAATTTGCGAGCGGGCCCTCATTAGTAGTGCTGCAGGACGAGCGTTTCTCCGCCCGCAGGAAGATTTTTGACGGGTCGGGGAGTAGTCTGGCTCAAACTTATCTGCCTATACTGAAGCGCTACTGAGGTCCTGCTTCCAGGCTACGTAAAATAGGCCCCACTTCATACGTTTTGACAAAGGGCTAACGCTCGAAACGTCAGCTTTGAAACTCTTCACGGTGGCCAATTTACGTTATCTTGATAATGCTAAATTACCCCACTTTACAGCCATTAGTTCTGCCCAGCTGTAGGCTGCGTGTGGCAAAACACACACTTGAACATTTAAGACAGTGGAAAGTAACTCAGTCAAGGTCAAATTTTGTTTGTTTTCAATGTCTAAGTAAACAATTTGTCATCTGGCATGACAAAATTTGTACCATGTGATCAAAGGAACTTTCACTTCCATTAAGAGTTCTAGATTCATCAATACTCAGACAAACCTGTCCTTTTCGAGCTCGTTCAATCTCTCTCGGATCCAAGTTACTGTTTTCAAGCTGAAGATGCAGATCCTAAAAACACAAAGGATTACGTATTCTTTTATTTACATATTGAAAAACAACAACATCAAATACCGCCTCTGACAACGCTTAAGAACTTGTTTAACTCAAACATATTACCTACTCTTGAAAAAAAAATCAGATTTAGAACGCGACACCTGTTAGACTAAACCTATAACTTAAATTCAATTCAAGTCCGAAAGAAAATGCTCCATTCACCTCTAGAGACACCCCCTTAATGACATCAACGGGGTCGATAACATTCCCGAGAGACTTGCTCATTTTTCTGCCATGCGCATCGCGCACCATTGCGTGAAGAAACACTTCAGTGAAAGGCAGCTGACCAGTAAGTTTAAGGCCTAATTTCACCATCCGGGCAATCCAAAAAATAAGATGTCATGTCCAGTCTCCAACAACGTACCAGGGTAAAATACCTTGTAATCGTCAGTCTATTAAGAAAGGAAATGCAATGAAAAGAAAGTAGAAAGGGATTTCAATGTAGATGTCTTGTCCCTACTTTGTTAACGGTTTTTCTATGAGGGACTGTTTTAAAACCCTCATCAAGAGTAAAACTCATATGGCATTCTCGTTAAAGAGGATCAGAATTGAATTGGTCGTCAACCGAGCAGTGTGGTCAAGAACAGATGGCAGTCTGTTCCCACAAACCACTGTCTGGCGCAAATTACAACATCACTTCCTCTTCACTGAAAACTCGCGGGTCAAAAATAAACCATTAAATGCACTTAGTTACATTAAAGATGAAAAATTCCCTCGACAATGATATTTTCACTTTATGGAAGCACACCCAGAGGAGCTGCAGTATTCAAAACTACAACAGCTAATCATAATAAAGGTACATAAACCGAGAAGCCAATGAGAACTCAAACTAGATATAAGCAAAAGGGTTCATGCCCGGGAAAACGTGAGTGACAGTCGGAATTGGTATTCGTTTCTGATTCGTTCGGTAAGTGATGCGAGTTTTCCGAGCAAAGTGACACAAGACCGATGCCTCCTCTGATAACATTCAACACCCAATAAAAAATTCCACTTGAAGTTCTCACACGAAATGTGATAACTAACCTCTTCTGGCCAACCAAATATGGAGAAAGGAAACAAGCCAGAGGAGAACCACGTGTCCAAAACATCTTCGTCTGCAATAAACCAGGACACACAAGTTAAGAACGAGATCAGGCAGGATTTTCAAGGGCTGGGGATGCATAACAGGTATCACAACAATTCTTACCTTGTTTCAAAGTGATCTTCTCGGGGGCTACATTGAACCTTTCTGCAGCTTTTTTCAATACTTCCTCTTCAGTGCGACCACTGAAACAAAATCGACACAATAAGATCACAATAAAGAAGATTAAAATCCCACTTGTTGTCTTTCATTTTCCACTAAATATTTTTGTTTTCTTTTTTTCGCTTTTTTTTAGCGGACACAAATTTTTTACATTACCTGACCCAGTATTTGCCATCAGTATCCTGAAAGAGAGAAACGTCAAAAGTAACTGATATTTTAGAAAATGACCATGACAACAACAGACGAATAAAATTACTGGACGGAACAATCTGATGCGCGGAGCAATCTAAAGTGAATTTTCAAACTTACTCTCTGTAAAATTCAAAAGACAGAAAATACTTAAAAAATGGGACTTGTATTTATCAGTATAACTTTCCATAATTGGAGCGCTTTTCTATGAAATGTCGTCACTAAAGTAATCCCAACGGCAAACAGAGGAAAGGAAAATTCTTTCAAGAGCCAATAAGAACTTATGGTAGAAACAACCAAACTGCCCAAAGCGCGGGAAAACGCGTGCGTCCAAGTCGTGAATGCTTTTAGTTTGCCTCTAATTGGTTGAGAGAATGGCGCGAGTTTTGTGGACCAATCGCAAAGCGAAGTAAAGCAAAAACACCGCAATCGTGGATTATCTTTGACGTTCAGTTTACAATTGCTCTTTTATATTCGTCGTCATCTTTAAAAAAAAACCTACCTCTCCTGGTGGGACACTTGGATCATCAATGGTCACAAAAAATGCTGGGATGCGATGACCCCACCAAAGCTGTCGAGATATGCACCAATCCCTAGAGAAAGAAAATGTATATCAACTCGCGCCCGTGCTTGCAGGAGGTTCATGACATGACACTAAAAGTAGAAGGGCAAAGAATTCAACTGCCTTAACAAGATAGACGCTGAGAATAAGAGCTTTTGTTACAGGATCAGATGTGAGTTTGTCGTCAACCAAGAGGTGTGGTTAAGAACAGATGGCAGTCTGTTCCCACAAACCACTGTCTGGCGCAAATTACAACATCACTTCCCTGGTGTGAAGTTTCAAAAACCAGTTTGAATCAAGTCCTCTCTGACAAAAAAAGAGCCATTTATAGGATCAATCATCGTGGTAAATACAGAGAGAAGTTTTTGCATGACTAACCTACAGTTCTCAAGCCAGCCGTACCATACTTTCTCATGTATACTTGGAATGATCTTCAAGTCTCCATTTCGCACTGCCTGCAGACACAGTTATCAGTATTGAAGCAGTATTCAATCACACAGGCAACAGTAATCAGGATATGGGATAGAAGGAACTGGTTGCTTTTCCCCTTACTGCAGTGACTTATGCCACATTTCAAATATTCCATATTCTAAAAAAGTAGCCACTTAAAACAGATGTTTGCAGAAAAAAGTGGTCTCACTAATAGTGAAGGTTGATAAAGAAAAAAAGATTTATCTGTATCACAACTTGGATAACGACAGCATTTAATATCAATTGTGGACGTTATGGGTCACTGTACCTTCACAGCCATATCTGCCATTTCCTTACAGTCCACATACCACTGAGGTTTGATGAGAGGTTCAACAATGTCTTTTGAGCGACTGAGAGAGAAAGTAAAGAATGCCAGGTAGAGTAACTCTAAGCCTTATACTGCAGCAGTAAGGAGCTGTAGCAGTGCAACAATGTCCATTAGAGACTACCATACAGTACAGAACTTAACATGAATGAAAGAGAATGGTTTTGTAAGGTATCCCTCAAAAAAGACATTAAAATTTAAAGTCTCCTAGATATCATTTTCCCATTTTAAAATTCACCTTCACAAGCATGAGAGGTTTCCTTTCCTGTCCTTTGCGTAGGAGGGTTAAAAGGATCACTTTAACCCTTTAAATCCCAAGATTTGATTGTGAATTCTCCTTGCTAGCTGCTACACATTTCATGTAAATCAGTTATGAAAATTTGTTGTTAGATCAAGATAAAAACTTCTACCTCACTGATGAGTTTGATTATTCTCGTTACCTGTTTGCTGGAATACAGTGTGGATATTATAAGGAGAAGTAACATGTTAATCAATTCTGGGAGTAAAGGGTTAAGTCACTAAATCAGGCCAACCAACTTACATGTAAAACTCACCTACAGATAGGAACAACCATCTGATTGTCTTCTGTTTTGATAAACAGACCTTTAGCAGTAAGAGCATCAAGCACAACTTTCCTTGCATCAAATCTCTTCAAACCCTAAAATTAAAAGCGCAAAAAAAGGTAATGATAAATGTTTCACCAAAGTTGTTTCCAAGGATAGTCACTCATTGTATATTTGCTTCAACCGGATGTCTTTTCTCAAACAGTCTTCATCAATTCAGAAGTACTTGTATCACCCACTTTTTCAACAATCCAATCAGTACATACATGTAAACTGTAGCAATCTGCAGTGTTCTCCTTTTCAACCAGTAGCCCATAAAATTTACCACCTATAAAATGTTCCTCTCACCCAATAAATCCCTTGAAATATTTGAAAATTCAACAGGTAGCACAACTGCTCTACAGATTTAAAATTTGTTTTACCTGTCATGCTTAAAATAAGACAGAACACTGTACACTGTACTTGTAATTCTGCAAATTAGTCAGTCATCATATTGTGATATATGCCTGTCTGTATTTTCTGCTTGTCTTGTCTATATAACTGTTACATTTAGTACAACAAGACAGCTTTGTAGAAGAATAGCATACAGTGAGTGGCAAATTATTGTTCAAGCTGTGACAATATCACACTCAATGGAAGACTTTATTATAATCTAGTGTATGCGTAAATGTAAGTACGGCAAGTATAAATACTTTACACAATATTCTTCTAACCACACATGTACATGCAGCAGATCTGAAAGCAGCTTACTGCAAAGTGCTTGAAATCTGGATAAAAGTCTTTTAGATCTTTGATGTTACCATTATCATCAATCATAGTGACAAAGTCAAGGCTGTGTCTCTGACCCACTCCATAATCATTATGATCATGAGCTGGTGTGATCTTGACAGCACCTAAACAAAAGAGCATGAGAAGAGTTCAAGCACAGTTATGCAGCAATTTCCTAAGCTGATCACTACTTCTTAAACTCAGAAAACCATGGAAACTTTGATTTTATTCTGAAAAGTCAATTGAGTAATGGATTAAGGACAAACAAGCAAACCTAACAACCTCACTCAAATTCATTTGGCTGTTTACAGGTTAGTTTTGTGACACTTATTGGAAATACAGTAAAATTCCAAATATATTTCTGATGATGAGTTTCACTCTAAATAACCAATCCTTTCTCAATGTTAAAGTAAATTTTAGTTATTTAAAAAGCCTATGTTGAGCCTGTACATGCACAGTGCAGTTGCCACTAATGGTAGAGATCACACAGTCACTTTTCATGATAAAATGTAGTTGGTTGTAAACAGTGACTCTATGAAAATTAACGTTAAAATTTAATGTCCATGATCAGCCTTAACCTAGAAAGTGAAGGGGACACTGAACATTATCACTCAAGCACCTTTTATCACTTTTCTATAGCCTCTGGACTAAAAAGAGTGCTTAAGGGCATGGACAATTCCTTTTGCCTTTTTGTGGTAATTATCAACACCATACACAGTGGTATTGGACAACACAAAATTATAGTGTTGCTGGTTCTTGGGTTCATGTGAGTACGTACCTGATCCAAACTCAGGATCAACCATATCATCACACACAATTGGCAGCTTGCGATTACAGAAAGGATGGAGAGCAAATTTTCCATGAAGGTGCTAAAGATACATTAAAAAAAAAAAACAATCATCATTACAAAATTTCATTACAGTTGAAATTCACAAGTTTTTTGTACTCAGTGAGAACTTGAATTCCACATGACTTTGTTTTACTCCTCAAGCATTGATTGGAAAAGGCGGATCTCATTTTTTCTATCAATTGGATAATTGTTAATACCAGTTACATGTATATCCTCCTAACCTTGTATCTCTGATCATTTGGATGCACTGCAATGGCTGTATCACCCAACATTGTTTCCACACGAGTGGTGGCAACAATCAGCTTCTCATCTGCAATAAGAACATAAAATATGTGATTAACACTATCCTCTGCAGCATCTCTAACTTTCATATTGGGAAGTTGGAAATGAAAAATCAACCAAAGATTTTGACTTATTTTAACGAAGAAACGAGTTATGGATGAATCAAAATTCTTATTTGAGAATTCTATTATAATAATAAAAAAGAATTACCTGAACCTTCCACAGGGTAAGCAAAATGCACCAATACTCCAAACTCTATTTTATTTTCATAACCTGGGACAGGCAGCAGTGTTCTTCCAGGTAATTCCTTTTTGTCAACCTAAAATTTTAGAATTTTGCCAACTTATTAAAACAACAAAAAAATGCACTAAGTGTTCAAAAATATCTTATTTATTCAAGAATATCAATATCTCTTGGGTTGCAAACCAGGGATTCAACTTAATCCTAAAAGTAAAATGGGGATGTACTTTAGGTATAACAATCATAAATGTCTACACTAGAAGTCTTGAAATACATACAAATAAATTCTTTATCCAGAAATAATGGTGGTAAGTTCTAAAGGAACTGTGGTTCTGCATCAGTGGGGGTATCATTCAAGATTGACAACATTGCTTTAATACCATTTGTAGCAATTACTCTTTTAATTTCTACCCTCTGCCATAATTCTTTCATGTTTCCTTACACCCTGCAGATATTGTTGCTGGATCTATATGAAGTGAATTCAATTTTAATTGAAATATTTACCTCAATATCAGAGATGGCAGAATTCAAAGTACATGACCAGTTGACCAGCCGTCTGTTTCGGTAGATGAGTCCTTCATCATGGAGTCTAATGAATGCTTCCTTCACAGCCCTGCTGAGTTTCTGATAAGATGAAACACAAACAAAAACGTGTAAATAAATAAATGACACGATTTTAGCTGGAAGATGTACATTTCATTGTAAACAAATTAAGACTGAATACCTCTTTTCTTAAAGAGTATTGCCTCTCATTAAATTAACTCCTTCACTGCTACAATCTTGTTAGTAAATCTTCTTTCTGCCTGCTATACAATTCTCACCATGTTAACTCAGAGAATTTAGTACTGGATCAATTAATAAATTATCCCCTGATTGATGTCTTCCTTTATTTTCATAACTAGTCTGCTTGATATTATATTTGATATTGAAAGGAGAAATTCTTTCTTGGTCACTCATGGGAGTTAAAGGGTTAAGATTAAAAGTCAAAAGTGCCAACCTAATCTCCTAAAAGTGGACAAGTTGTGTATTGTCTGACTATATAAAACAAAAAAACAAACAAACAAACAAACAAAAGTTCACCCACAGGATCCATAGTGAAACAAGCTCTATCCCAGTCAACAGAAACTCCCATCATTCTCAGCTGCTGATAGATACGATCGCCCTTTCTGTTGAGAAAATGAATTTACATATTTTAGAAATCACTTTTAATTTCTACATTTGTACTTTTACTTTGTAAAATCTCTGGTTGTACAATGATATTTTGTTGTGGAACTTGGAAAACAAAGAACATCAGAAATATCTGTAGAATATCGATGGTAGTCACAGAAAAAGCCAGTCATATGTAGAAAAATGAAGCTAAAATTATACAAACAGCAACAATTGTTAAATTTGGGGTTTTGAGGTTTGTCCATCATTGTGATTGGATATTACACAATTCACCTGTCAGAATCAAAACAAAGTGTTTGTAATTTTCTAAGTTTTGTGGGAAAAAGTCTATCAGGTGCTACAAACTTTCAGAGTCAACTTTTATTTGCCAACAATGACAGGAAAAAAACTTACTCATTCTTCCATTTCCACACCGCTTCTACAAATTTCTCTCTTCCCAAATCATGTCGTGATAGACCTTGTTCACGCATCAACTTCTTTTCCACCACAACCTAAAGAAACAAAACATTCATCCAGTAAACTATTGTCAAGAAGTATTAACTGCTTTTAAAAATAAAGTTATCGAGTAAATATTAAATTTATTTAAAATGAAAGATACAGTCTTCTTTTGGTTTCTTTTCACGTTATCTTTGCCATTCCCAAAAATCAATGTTTAACCCTCCGACCCCTAAGTGACTAGCATCTAATTTCTTTCTGCAATATTACCCCTGAGTCACACGTTTAGTTCATCAGAACAAAGGAAATGAGGAAATGATCACTAACTTAAGAAGCTGGTGATTGTTAAACAAATTCTCTTTGACAATTCCCTAAAAAATGTATGGGGTACAGTATCGTGAATATGTATACTGTTGTTAGTGTGTAAAGAGTGAAAAGGAATTAAGTCTTTCCATGGAATTACATGCAGGACTGCCTGAAAGAAGAGTAAAGCACTGACTAAAAGTGATCTAACTCTTAAAGTACTGTCCCACGATGTACATGTTGAGTTCATTCAAAATCTGACAAAGTCAATTATCCATGGAATTATCAGATTTATCGCAGCCATGAAAGATTGTAGGGTCAGTAAGACTACTGTGGTTAACTAATAAACTTGTAGAAATTATTATTAGGACCTCCTCCTCAAAAATTCAATTTCATTACTTCATCCATAATTCTATCAACTAGAAGGTGCAAGGGTGAAGGGGTTGACACTATAAAACAAATTATGTTTAAAAGCAAGAAGCATTGAGAGAGAATTATACAAAATATATCAAGTGCTGAAGGGTTCAAATACCTGTGTGGCTATTCCTGCATGATCACACCCTGGATTCCATAATGCTGTCTTTCCAATCTGACGATTCCTAGTTAGAGAAATCACATTCTTATTAGTTTACAAATAAACAGGATTTGGTAGGCTAATAATTTATGGTATATCAACAAAGCCGAGTAGTGGTTTATATAATTGTAGCATTGATAAAGATGTGGTTTTGTAAGTTAAAGAAGTCAGTCTCCAAATCCAGAGAGACACTACACTAATCATGGCCAAAAATAGGCAATTTTCTTACCATCTTGTTATGCAGTCTTCAACAGCATTAGTGAGGGCGTGGCCAAGATGAAGTGACCCTGTCACATTGGGTGGAGGAATACACATCATAAATAAACCTTTTGGATTGGGCTCTTGAAGGCTCTTGCGCTGTTTATGATGAAAAATGCAAACAATGTTACAAAGTTTACAAGGTAAGTTGCTGAAATTTACTATCTTTAATCAGCAGGTGTTATGTTTTAATTGCACTTGTAAATTCTAAATCAGTGAAAAACGAAGAACAGAAAAGGAAGTTCAAAACTAGTAAACTGTGTCATTTTGAATTTGTAGCAAAAAAGTTTATTAATTAATTTGGACTCATCTTACCCCATATTCAGGCTTGAAAAATCCCTGGAAATAAAATTGCATGCTTTCAGTGAAAAGGTGCAAGTAACATAATTATTGTAAACATATGATTTCAAATTATTAAATTTTCATATCATATCTTTTACTATTGAAATATGCCTGTTTTAGGAATTTGATTTGATTTATAGGCCCTGATTTTAAATTAATCCACCGCAAAACTCATTTAATTTAATGTTTCTGAAGAGGAAACAAGTAAGTTGAAAGAAAAGATAATCATCTGATTGAATAATGCAACTTACTATAAACAATCTCTCTCAGGCTCTGAGCAATTGTTGTCAATTATGAAAAAAATTTGATACTGCACTACACAACTGAATACTGATGAATCAAAAACCTGTTTTTTACTGAGTTTTCTGATAATCCCATAACGATAGCTTATCTATAAAAGCAAAAGATCCATCCCCCTTCTGGTTTACTGGCCAAGTAATTCACTTTGAATGTTGGCAGAGCACTAGTAAATTATAAGTGGTACCCGATTGACAAAATTTTCAAGTGCTCTCCAAACATCCTACACAGATTATCATGCTCCAACTGCTGTAAAAATTTCAAGTCAAAACTTTAGTTCCAATACTTGCTTACTTCCTTTTCCCACCAAGCATACCAAGAAGCTTCCACATAAACAGGACTGTAACTATCAGGCATAACTCCACTGACATCTACATGTTACAAAAAGAACGAAAACATGTTAAATCCTCCATAGGGCTACCCCATACAATACTGATAAATAACAAATGCTGGCATGAGGCCATGTACATAACTCTCACACTTCAAATGTTCACAAGTTTCTTATTGAGAAGGCTCAACTTGAAAATGCTGCAATAGTTAATTACAAACTATGTAATGAGAGTCAAACATTTTTATTGAATTCACAGTGTAGTATACATGCGCTATCAGAAAAATACAAGTTACATCAATCAAATATTTCACCTTTCTTTTCTCCTGGAGCTGTTGGTTTGTCATACACAAAAAAACTTTCTTGGTTGTTTCTTTTTTCTTTTATCCTTCTTTTTCTACATGAAATAAAAGTTGCAAATATAAAATATGCATGGTAATTCTTATAGATTTTAAAGTTCTTATCACTAACCTTACCTTAACCCTTTAACTCCCATGATCTGATTATCAATTCTCCCCTCTAACTGCTTCACATTTCCTTGAAAATTAGTTTAGAGAATTTGGTGTCAGAGAAAGACAATAACTTCTACTTTATAAATTTTGGTGTTCTTATTACCTGTGTGCAGGAGAATTTACATGATAATCACTTCTAGGAGTTAAAGGGTTAATTATCTTTGGAGAGACCTAGCAACTTAAAAGTATCTGGGTTCACTAGAATAATCACTGTACAAGTAAAACTCCTAAAAAGACAAAACACTGTTACCCCTTCCCTATCATTTTTATGGGTTCAAGTTAAGAAGGGTGACCCACCCCTCCCTCCAAAATCCCCCTTCCCCTATTCACAGGGCTGATGCAATATTGTGAAAGCTGTTTACAAGTGGAGACTTCAAGGATGTTCTTTTGCAGCAGCCATTCCGGAGTAAACTAGGACTTAGCAATAATCCGAAAAATTTCTATTATTCAATCACTTGGTACGAAAAATAGTCACATTTCAAATCTTCGTGCATCGTGGTCGAGGATTGTACTCCGATCGTGGTAGTTTTCTTCCCCCGAAACTTACTAAAACTTCCCATGTTTACAACGAGAGCCTCGATCCTTTAAAAAATAGGGTCAAATTGAAGGAAGCTATAAAATTACCTGGTTCTGACCCTCCATCTGAGCTGCCTCCTTCTCCTTCTTTTTGGCGAATTTTTCCAACTTTGCCTGCCTTTGGGCCTCTTTCTTGAGCTGACTGGCGGTCTTCTCCACCGCGCCGTTGGCAGTTGCACTTCCCGGATTTTCCATGGCGCTAGAATTCAATCTGGCGAAAAATCTTTGTGAGAAAGTATTTAAAAGAAACTGTGAGCTATTTTTAGTCCAAATTCCAGAGGTTGATGAAATCAACCGAGCAAATTTCATAGACTTTCCACGCTGCCGGCTTCCGCCATTGATTGTCCGCCAGCAATGGTTCATGGGAATATTGGAGTTTTCTTGGAACGATGGGAAGAATTTGGAGCTGAAGAAGATAACGAAAATTTCTTAACTTCTTAGTGTGGACAACAACATTCCCCTTATTTTTCAGTGAACTGATCTCAGAGAGACTCTCATTCTGTAAGGAAATATAAGCGCTTTAGGAACAATTTGTGAATCGAGAGCGGGGGAGAGGAAATTATGTCTAGTAACAGTGTGTTCCAGGCACCCATTCATAGCTACTTACAACTTCCGGCCACGAAACTTGCATCAAAAATTCGCCGATTAGAAATTGGTGTTGAGGAACTTTTGCAAGTATTCATTGACAGGATAAATGCAGTCAATAGTAGCATCAATGCAGTGGTCGCCAATCGTTTCTCAGAAGCTTTGGCTGAGGCGAGAGAGGTCGACGAGGAACTTCATAAGATGACTCAAATTCAGAGAGACGAACTGGAGAACGAGAAACCTCTGCTGGGTGTGCCATTTACCGCCAAAGAAGCTTTTGCGGTCAGAGGCTTGCCTAATAGTGGTGGTCTCGTGGCTCGTAAAGACTGCATAGCCGAAGAAGACGCAGTTGTTGTGGGTCGTTTACGACAGGCTGGAGCTATCCCAATTGCCCTTTCCAACTGCAGTGAATTATGCATGTGGTGGGAGTCAGCAAATCGGGTTTATGGAAGGACTAGCAATCCATTTAACAGGTCCAAAATAGTTGGGGGTAGCTCTGGAGGAGAGGGTGCTATCATTGGAGCAGCTGGATCAGTATTCGGCGTGGGATCAGGTTAAAATTGTTATTGCATTTACTTACTCGCTCATTAATTCATGTCAATCAGTCAGTCAATCAATCAAGCAGGTAAATTTCTAAAGAACCTGTGGTGCTGCATCGGTGGGAGAGTATAACAGGGTAATTTAGTGTTATCAATTGGGTTGATAATGTAAATTGGCCATCATAAAGAGTTTCAAAGCTGATGTTTTGATTGTTAGCCCTTTGTCTTAGTGTTCTGACCAATCAGTCTACTAGTCAAGGTAATTTGGGATTATCAACTGAGTTGATAATGCAAATTTTCTACCTTTAAGAGTCAAGAGTTTAGCTTCGAAACTTTTAAAGGTGGTCAATTTACATCATCCACTCAGTTTATAATACCAAATTACCTTGTTATACCCTCCCACTGACACAACACCACAGCTTCTTTAGAAACCTACCCTCTATGTCAATATGTTAGCCAGTCAATTAATTGGCTAGTCAGCCATTGAGTCAGACAGTCATTCAGGTAGTCTTTCCTCATTTGCTCAGTTTTTTTGCTACTTATTTATTTCTTTTTTTTTTTTCTCTCTGCTCGTTCATTCATCCATGGGGCTATACATTGATCAATCATTTGGTCATCCCTTTCCTTTGTTCATAAACATACAAATTCAAACACTTATCTAAACCAAACTTTACTCAAACAAACTGCAGTCAGTCAATAAATTAAACATTAATTTGTTCTGCAATCAATCTGTTATCTCTTATTTTTAATTATTATTCTTGTAGACATTGGTGGCAGTATAAGAATGCCGTCATTTTTCACTGGAATATTTGGACACAAGCCTAGTCCAGACATTGTACCCAATGCTGGTCAGTTTCCTGATGCATCAGGTAACAGACAGCAGTTCTTGTGCACTGGGCCTATGTGCCGATATGCAGAGGACCTCAAACCTCTTCTGAAGGTATGCAACTTTTAGATACTTCACTTAAACACTATGTTTGATTAAATCACTAGTATATATAAAAAAATTCTTACCTCTGATTGGCTAAGAGAAATGCATTTTCAGGTAACAAAATGAACGAGATTTAATTCAGTGCAGAGAAGGGTAATTCAGTGCAAACAAGTGATACAAGAAAATTTAGTGCAAACTGTTTTGGGGGCTTAGAAATATTTTGCAGTATAAAAAATTTGTAAAAAGTTAGGAAATTACACAAGTTTGCATTTTGATTTTGTAAAGTCTAGGTGGTCTTTGTTAAATTTTTTTGAGATACAGGAGGGCAATGAAGCTACTATGCTTTGTACAAACTCATGGCAACCATACTTGGTTGGGTACATATCAAAGAGCTAGTACCAGTCCTCTCTCCTTCATGTTGGAACACTCATCTGGTTATAATAATATTATTGTTGTCACTAGTAACTAGGTAGAAGCTTTTAAGGTCTACATGTTCAGCTGAACATGTGATGTCTTAAATCTCTCTGGTAAGCTATTCACCAAAATGCTTGAAGATTAAAATCACATTTTTAACTTTTAGGTTATGGCAGGAGATCAAGGAGCATCAAAATTGAATCTTGCAAGGGATGTAGATGTTACAAAGCTGAGATATTTTAGCATTGAGGATTGTGGAGGACACTTTTTGATATCAAATGTTGATCCTGAACTAAAGCAGGCCCAGCAATATGTCTGTCAACAACTTGAGGAAAAACTTGGTGTGGAAGTAGTGAAACTTAAAATTGAAAAACTTTCAAACTCCCTTGAGATTTGGTCATCGATGATGTCTTCTGGAGCACAAAAGTCATTTTGTTATTACATGGGTAACCAAGTGTCAGAAGTTAATCCCTTCTGGGAACTTTTGAAAGCTTGTATTGGACTCTCTAATCACACACTTCCTGCAATTGGTTTGGGCATGCTGGAAAAATTTGAAAGTTTAACACCTAAAAGGGTATCAGAGTCTTTCATTCAAATGGCTGAGGAGCTAAGACTGGAACTTGAAGGTATTCTAGGGGAAGATGGAGTCTTAATCTATCCCTCTCACCCGTCAGTGGCTGTCAACCATTGCGTTCCCTTGTTATTTCCTTTTAATTTCTCATACACAGCTATTTTTAATGTTCTTTATTTCCCTGTAACTCAGTGTCCTGTTGGGCTGGGAAAGGCAGGCTTACCTCTTGGAATTCAGGTGGCAGCAGCAAAGGATAATGACTGTCTAACCATTGGTGTTGCCATGGAGATTGAGAGGCTATGTGGTGGTTGGGATGGGTTATTTAAACAAAAACAATCTGGTCTGAACATTGATCAATAAAAAACAACATTTTACTCTGAATTAAGTTTGCATTAGAAACAAAATACACCATATTTTTGACACAATAATAAATCAACATATTTTAATAAAATTGTAGTATACCCAAAAGCACAAGATTATACTACTTATTGTAAACTAAAAGTTGTGAAATAAGCTACCTGTATTTTAGAAGAAAATCCTATCTTTCTTTTTTTTTTTAATTAACATTTTAGAAATGTTTAATTTAGAGTGAAATGTAATTCAGGATTTCACTATATTTTATGGTTAGTTTAATGACCTCTTGCCATGTCAGTCAGTGAGATACAAAACTGAAACCAGTTGTGACTTGGTTACAATTATTGTCTCATTAAAGACAGTTATATATATTCACTTTGAGTTCTCAGTGATTCCATGGGAAATTTCCTTTCTTTCTGCCAGGCATAGAGAGTTCTTTGACTCTGGATTGAGAAATGCCCTATTATGAGGGAACAGTGTAAAATATTAATTATTTACCACATCATGAAGGTCTTAAAGGTAAATGACAAATAGTCATATAAAAGACTATGAATGTAGCTAAAAAAGAGAGGCCTGAGGTTTCTGAGGGTCACAATTTGCTGCTGTCAAAATGGTATCTGAAAGATTGCATGAGAGTCTCCATTTCTTCTCTTAATGGCCTCGGGCCAAAAGTAATTTCGTAATAAGACGCTTCAAACGGCGCGTGAGGGTGAAAATAAACCACAAATGCATTGATTAACATTTCATTTAACTATACAGTTGTATAGATTTTGTTTGTCTTATGTCAACAATTATTAACCACGATCACATAGTGTGGTCTGTTTGTGAGTTCACAATTCGCTGCTGTTAAAATGGTATATGAAGGATTTGGAAATCCTTAGAAGCAAATTTTAATCATAGCGGAACTTAAACACATTCATTCAAGGGCAGTTTATGCGTGACTACTAGTACAATTAATTGCTGTTTTATTTAGACAAGACTAACAAACAAAATGAGTAAGCCTTTAATCGCTTCTTCCTTATGACAATTTCACTTTACCTCAAGGTTAATCGCTTTCTTCAATGCGGTGAACACATTCATGTTCCCAATCTCCTTTTCAAACTCTGAAGCCAGCTGTTCACTCACGTCTGCTAATTCGCCAGCTGCACTTGCCAAGCTGGAGGTCTTTCTTACCGCTTCACACAGTTTCCGATTTCGATTCCCATGAGCCTGGCAAACAAGATGTTAACAGTGCATCAGAGATAAGCCAAAACAACTCCCATATACCCTAGAAACAATCAAACACTTATGGGTAAAAAAAAATATCAATTTGGTAGATTATAGTTTTTCTGTTTCCTTCAAAGAGCTAAGATTCCAAATCCTATTCAACCAGAAACAACTGACAAAATAATACAACTGATTTGCCCATAACTAGATACTATCTAATTTTAAATTTTGGAAAATGAACAATCAATCCATGACCATAATTATTTCACTTACCGAGTTGGGCTCATGAGGGTTGCCAGTAACACCTGCTCCAGGATCTTGAATGAGGCAGCCGTTCCTGCCAGTTCTTTCATTGTCTGGGAAAGGAAAAATCATCAAAAAGAAAAATGTAAAAAACATAGGCATGCTATACACCCAAGAGTTTCACTTTTTATGGTGGGTTGGACAGGGCAAGACACTGAATTTCATGATCTCGATGTGTTGACCTCTTATTAACAGCCACCGAACAATTTGACGTCGCAGTTTACCGCCTTCCAGCAAGCGATCAGCGAGTACCCAAGTTCTACCTTACTACCTTAACAACGTTTGATTTTTGACGTCTGAATCGGTGTAAGATCCGCTATATTCACTAAATTTAAAAATATGTTTAGATCTTGGACCGGATTAAACAACAGGTCATGTACGTTTGCCGTTTACTTTACCGCCATCTCGTTACAAGCGTTAAACAAGGAAAACGATATGATTTCTTGCGAGGAACCTGCTAAAATATACAATGTTGACAGCTTGGTGTCAGTAAATACTTGTGACATGGCGAAAAGAAAAAAAATTATTTCGGCAAAATTCAGCTTAGATTCTGGAAAAGAAGTTTCTCATTATCTTTAGATTTAAACCTCACATTTCATCCCTATGACACTTGTATTTTCTGAGATCTTTCAAAAGACTTCATTTACATTGAAGCAGTCGCACTGACATATGCTTCGACGATGTTAACGAGAGAAAAAAAAATGAGAAATGTGTTTTTATATTGCTACAAGCGTTAAAATAAGGAAAAAAATTCTGAGGGCAAGCAAGGAACTGAAACCTGTAATTAGCAATGTCGGAAGCGTCATGTCAGTAAATACTGCACGAAATATGGACAATTTTGTACTCGTCCCACGCTCGTGACTAGACGGAAAAAATGCATTATTTCATCACCGCCTCAAAATTCACCATCTTTCTTATTCTAGATAAACAATTTTCTTAAAATCGTTTAGATTCATACTTAACACTTCATCACTGTGACACCTGTTAGTTGTTTCTAAGATTTTCCAAACAAATCAATTTAAGTCATAAAAATCATTTTTACAAGTATTGGCTCTCTGGTAAACAAAAGGCGATATGAGTTTGGTGCGAGTGAAACCACCCGCATTCATAACAAAGAAAGGAAATGGACGTAGCCAAGCACGATCAGACCAAACAGCTGAATAAAGGGGTTAAGTTTGATTTGAAATTGGTGTTGTGTCGGTGAAAGAGTATAAAAAGGTAATCTGGTATATAATCAAATGAGTTAATAATGTAAATTGGGCACCGTTAAGAGTTTCAAAGCTGACGGTTCGAGCAGAACAAACAACTCCTGCTATATAGTACAGATTCCAACATCGAAAAACAAGAGTTTTCATGAAGTTCGTTATATGAAAAGTTGAATGTTTTAAACACAATCAGGAAAGAGCCGCTTAGCCATTTACGGTTAACGAATTCCCCTGACTTAGACCTAAACAAGGTAGTATTTAAGGCGTGAAACTTTTTGTGTTATATTTGCGATTCTCACTTTTTTGTTCGTTTTTGTGGCTTTCTAGAAACTAAACCAATAATACTCAGACTTCGGCCAAAGGAAAAAGCTGTCCTGTGGATTTTGAAAATACGGATGTAGTCCGAAGCTTCGTGAATCACAAGATAAAATGAATTTCTAACTGATACTTCGAACCATATCACCAAATTACGACAGTGCGAAGTAGTCATTGAGAAGCAAAAGAAGCACCTGTAACTGTGGTCATTGTAAGATCAAAACGGAGCTTGCAGCTGTAATTGCGTTTTAGGGGAGCTGCGTGAACCGAAAGCGTGTGGTCAAATGCTGCGTTTCATTTTGCAATACCTCATTTAAGTCAATCTGTTCCTCTGAGTCACATTTAAAAACTTGCCTTTTGATTTGAATGTTAAAAGCATTAAAAATTATAGCCCCCAATTTGCATAGTGGTGTCTCGCTTACGTACTGTCGCGGAATCTAAACCAATGAAAAAAAGCAATGTGTTCTGCCCTCGTTTCTATAAGGTTTATTTTGCCGAGATCCCGACAATCGCGCACAAAACTACTTACAATCTCTTATTTCAATCTTTTATTAGCTGATTAAGAGCGTATTTCTTTGCTTTTTACTTTTTTCATCGACCTATTTTGGGGAGAAAGTAAATAAATCATCAAGTTTTTCTGCACATCAATTTTTTCTGCATTTCAAAAATAGAACAACATTTGCATAACGCGTACACGTGGAGGAGAACTTACTCGACTTCCCGTTGGAAAAAAGTTTTCTTTTATTTTTTGTCCATGGGAAGGGTTTAGGACACATGTTTCAAAAACAGTTTAGTTGTTCTCCAATTCTCTTTTTTTGCGTCGCCACAAGCCAAAAATGATTTTTGGCTAGACCACCCGTGTGGACAGCGATCGAAAGTTTAAATTTCATAGATTTTGTACAGCGCGCAGCGACTGCAATAATATAGCTTATGGAATCCTATCTTGCTACAAGTTACAAGATGTCTTCTGTTAGTTCACAGACAAAATATGGAAACTTCAGCTGTGTGACCTTCAAGGGTCACAGGGTAAATAAATAGCTCTAGGAGCCAACTCGAACGCACGAACGCACCAGCCAAGAGTATAAAGACGTCTTTTGACATGGATAACAGTGATGGCAAAGCAAGCTTAAAACGGCAGAAATCGCCAGAAACTACGACGGATACACAGGGCATGAGTAAGTTTTATTGATTTTACGTGTAGAATATTCATATTTCGAAATATTTATCGTTGTAAATCGACCATATTTCGTTCCCCATACTATTCCTTATAACGTGTTCAAATTTTCAACGGTTCCTCCCGTAACTTAACACCGAGTCACACAACGCGTGACGCGTTCATGAATTCATTGTTGGCTTTTTCTCGAGACGTGAGCTTGGGCCGCCTGTGGTTATAACGCTTGCGCGCTTGCGTGACTTTCTCGATAATTTTCCTTGAAATCTAAGGTCATGAACTACGCGCAGTGTGGAGAAGATCAAAATTAAAGAATAAAGTTTGGCACTTTAGTCATTACAAACATATCACGTTGCTTAAAGGACACACAAACAAGTTGAAATACCTTTCTGTGTTATTTACAAAACAACACGAATACACTGTGAAAGAATTCTTGCATTTTCTCCCGAGATTTTGCACACGGAACGCGATGAACTAGCCCTCCTTTGTTTCCATCATTACTTATTTTACGTTGTTATGGACCACAACGGTTTTGACTAACAAACTCAACATTTCCCTACGACCATTAAAATCAACTGGACAAACCCTGCTTGATGTATTGCGTGACGTGATTGTGCAATTTTTTCTCTTGTCAGAAGACCTATTTCGCGGAACCAAAATTAGTAAATGTAGCGAATTATAATCGAAAGCTATTAAAATAGACTGAAGAGTTTTACATTTTACTAAGAATCTAATCTTTTAAAATGTTTACTTTATTCATGAAAAGCAAAGATTGTGGTAGCTGTGAGATCAATTATAAATAGAAATATCTGAACAGTGAATAACTGACTTTAAATTCTGTTTTCAACACAATGAGGTAAAACAAATCTCATCAAACCAAACCTAACCTAGAATTAAACAGGGTAGTATTTAAGGCATGAAATTGTTGTCTTATATTTGCGATTCTCACTTTTTCGTTCGCTTTCGTGGTGTTCTAGAACTAAAGCAATAACTGACCCAGACTTCGGCCATAAGAAAAAACTTTCCCATAGATTTCGAAAATGCGGAGATAATCCGAAACTTCGTGAATCACTAGATAAAATGAAATTCTAACTGAACTTCGAGCCATATTACTAAAGTACGACAGTTTTTTTTGAAGAAACATTTGTATAGAACTAAACTTACATTACATTACTCTACTTACATCACTCGACATCACTTTATTTATTACATTTCTGTATATATTGGATTAGTCACCAGTACTTATTTCTTACTTATACAAACTGTCACTT